TGTCCTTATGCCTTATCTACAACGGCTCATGGCTGACATCGGCGATAGGTATAAGTATCCACTCGACCGTTACACCCACGAGTATATTTCCGGAGGAGATGTGCCTGCGCAAGACAATTCGAGTGACTGTGGAGTCTACTGTCTAAAGTTCATCGAGTATCATAGTCTTGGGAGGCTTTTTCCGAAGACGCTTTGTGGTAGGAACATGAAAGCTATAAGAGCAAAGCTTGCAGCGGACCTATATCACGAGATCAACTGTCGCGGCCCTCCAGAGCGTAACTGGGAGGATCTGGACAATGACATATAACTATCTAGGTAGATCGGTATATATCAGTTTTAGGCTGGGTGTGTTTTGTAAAGCGCTCATGGTACCATATTTTGCTGTGTACCTAAACTCGACGCTCTCATTATTTTTTGGTGTAAAATATAACTACCTAACCCAGCTAAATATATAATATAACTGTTTTCGGATAAATTCAAATTCTTGCATGTTTACTAACATGGACGTACCCCGTCAATATCAAACAAAATGAATAACATAAAACATTAGTAACTCAAAACAGCTAAAGTAGACCTCTTCGGTAGATTGTTGTAGTAGATCGGTCGGGTAGACCTACGTAGTAGACCGAATATTACGTCTACGTAGACAAGGTAGACTAAACATGCGGTCTACCGAATTAGTCGACTAAGTCAGTCTGCCGCTGCGTTGTTCATCTGCAGGAGTTATGGAACTCAAGTAAGGATAAAACTGAAACATTAACGGAAAGAGGGAGTTTTCAATGGCTTACACAATGAGGTCGGGTGTGTCCTGGAACCCTGCACAACGAACAGCTATAAACTTTGTGGACCTTCCTTGGTTTGGGCTGTCTCTTCCTTGACAATTCTAGCCATGTTAGATACCTTGATTTCTTTTTCCGGCCACGAGTTGGCGCCACTTCTGGAGGTAAGCAAATGTCTTCTTCTTCCTCTGCATCTTCTGTAGGCTCCGGGTATATGGGACGTGCATATGTTGCATACAAAGATTCTTTCGTGTATGTCATACACACGTTTTGCGAAATGTGCATGTTTGCCTCAGTAGACGCTGCAATCGCATGTGAACAAGGTATTTTCTCAATCTGGAATACACCACATTCGCAGGAACGGTTTTCCAAATTCACAATATAATGCCCTCCTCCGCCTATAACATTGAAAGTCCATCCATCTATGTGTTCCACAGTGTATGTTTCTGCGTGGTGTGTACGAATAGCTAGCAAATATTCAACTCCCTTGCTGTATGGGGTCTGAAGACTCAAGGCGTCCTCTCGCCTTTTGGCAAACCAAACCCCCAACTTCTCCCGGATGAATTGCAGCAGATACGGTATTGGAAAGCCCTTTGCTCTCTTCAATGCGGAATTGATAGATTCAGCAATGTTACTTGTCTTTATATTGTATCTATCCCCTGGAAAATGTACTCTGGACCATAACTTAGGATCTGCTAACTCTAAGTAGTTCGCAAGTGCAGGTTTAGCAGCCCGGATTGATGCCATGCAACGGTTATACTCTCTCAGCGTATGGGCGTATGCAGCTCCTTTCACCAAGTACATCAAATCCTTTGCACCCAGCTCTGACTTTGAGACAATGTTTCCCTGAAGATGGTAGTAACAAATACCTCTGGTTACCCAAGGTAGAACATTGAGACATGCATTAGGTATGGAGGGGTGCCTGTCCGAAATAATGACCATGTGATGAGATGAAAAGCATTGCTGCAACTTGTTCATAAACCACCCCCATGATTCGTTATTCTCGGCATCTACAATCCCAAATGCCAACGGGAAAACCTGAAAATTAGCATCTTGTCCGGCTGCAACCAGCAATGTTCCTCCATACTTTCCAGTTAGATGAGTCCCATCTACCACAATAACACGTCTCAAGTACTGAAAGCCAACCATTGAAGCATACAAGGACAAGAAGCAGTATTTGAATTGACCATTAGCCTCACATACAAGGTCAGTCACGGAGCCCGGGTTTGACTGCTTCACTCTTCGCAAGTACGAGGGCAAAGCCGCATATCCAGCTTCTGGTGTTCCCCTAACAAAAAGTTGGGCAGCTTTTAAAGCTCTGTAAGCAGTGGTGTAGTTAAGCTTAAGTCCAAGCAACACCCTTATCGCGGAAGCAATATGCCTTGGGACAATTCCATCAATGATTCCAAACTGCTCTACAAATATCTGCCCAAGATACCTTGGAGTACATCCCTTGCGGAATCGAGCACGGTCCACCACAGAGCATGTATGAACCTTGACATACTTTGTGACAAAGAACCTCTTTGCCTCATTCTTTATAGCAGCTCTGCACATCCATTTGCATCCATCTACAAAACATTTTGCCACATAGAGCTTGGTAGTAGACTTAGAAACCTTGAAGGCGAATCTAGACTTCACTGCCTTCACTCGCAAGGCAGATATGAGATCATTCTTGCTTACATAGCTCTGGCCAACTGATATATCGCCTGACCCATCGAATCCTACCCCATGACCATTCAAATCACCTCTGCGAAGCCTTTCTTCAAAGCGTTTTTTCTCCCAATCATCTTCATCTTGAACTTTCCCATACTCACTATAGTCTGCGTCCGTGTCTTCAGCTTTCTTTCCTGCAAAATCTTCATCCACATAGTCATCGTCCCCTGCATCATCATACTCTTCCTCAACTTCTTCATCTGAATTTGCATCCCAGTTTACATCTGAAAGTTCCTCCTCCTCTTCATACTCATCCTCATCCACATAGTTATCTTCATCGACATAGTTATCCTCATCTCTCTGCTGACCTTTATCCTTGTTTCCAACAGAGATGCAAAGGCGCAGCACATGCGTTTTGCATGTCTCTATCAAGCTATGGACCTGCCCATCGTTGGTGATGTACATAGGAGGAAAGTCAGAGGGCATTTGATGGAGCATAACATCTGGTAATGGATAGGATAACTCCACCCGCTCTGGTTCCATATCCAGCATATAGTCAGCTTGTACCATTGTAAGGAGCTCCTCATGTGTACAACCATCACGCAAGTAGAACATCCTCCCTCCTTTTCCTTTATCGACCTCAAAATTCCATGTCTTGTCTTCCATCACCACCCATTTTCCATAAACGGAAGCTAGACAAACCATTACCTGCAACAAAAACGAACAAGACCACAAAACGGATTAGAAGACAGAATGGGTAGACCGCTACGGTAGACCCACAACTTGGTCTACCAGGTAAAATTAATCTAGATACCTAATTGAAAAGAAATCCGAATATAGCCTTAATTACGCAGAAAGAACATTTCAAACTCACACAGAAGCAAGTAAACAAACAAAAGCAACTAACTGTTCGAGATAAATTCCAAAATATTTGATATATTGAAAGGAAAACGACATTTCAAAAAACACATAATAATAGACCTACAACGTAGACTTCCAGTAGACGTTAACGGTAGACCGAAATGTAGGTCTACGCCACGTGGAGGGTTAGTTTAGCAATTGTTCGAGGAAAATGTTTTTTTGGAGGTCTACCGTGTCGGTCTACTACACGTGGCGGGTTAGTTTTGCAATTGACCAAACGTTGACTTTTTGCCAAGGTCTACCGTCTCCGTCTACCAGAAGACGTAGACCTCCAAATCGGTCTACCGTAAAAAAGTAGACCTCCAAATTAGTCTACCGTATCGGTCTACCTAAAAAACATTTTGTGATGGCGTTGACTTAAGTTTGACTTTCCTCGGGTAGACTTCCGTGGTAGACCTCAGTTTTTTTGCGTTGACCAGTAGACCTCACTTTCGGTCTACCAAGCAGTAGACCTACACGGTAGACCTCAATGACGCAAACTCTCTCCTTTTTGAGGAAAGTCAAACTTTTGTCAACGGCCGGACCAACGTTTTTTTTTTAGGTAGACCGACCTGGTAGACCTACGACAAACATTTTACTCGATCAATTGCAAAACTAACCCGCCACGTGTAGTAGACCTCCAAAAAAACATTTTCCTCGAACAATTGCTAAACTAACCCTCCACGTGGAGTAGACCTAATTTGAGGTCTACCACTTGTTTTTTTTGTTTGCAAAGGAATTGACCCGGTCTACTTTTGGTTGACCGGTAGACCTCAACTGAGGTCTACCATGTAAAAGTAGACCTTCTCTTCCGTCTACCTTTGCGGACCAAAACTGAAAGTCGTTCAATTTTGAAAGAAAGGTTACCTCGCCGTCGGAGAAAGGCTCTTCGAAGCCTGATAACTTAAATTTGGGCTTCCAGCAACGATCTCCGGTCGTCAACGTAAGCTAGACAGTCGGAAATACCAAGATCCAAGATTTGAGATTTCTTCTAGATTTTGGGATGAAAATGGAGAGAAAATGAAGAATAAGAGTTTGTGAGATGAAAGAAGGAGAAATGGTAGCTCACCAACGAGTTTTCGGAGCATTGAAAGCTCCATGTTCGGTGAAAATGGTGGTTGGCCACATTGATGATATGGCATTTTCGAAATTTTGTGTAGGAGATGAGGGGTCTTTGGTCTTTCAGCAGATACGGTAGACCTACAAATCGGTCTACTAGTCGAAAAAAGTAATGGCAATCCTGTAATTAATTAGAAAAATCTGGACAAACTTAAAACGAAAAAAGCAGGAGGTTACTTTTGCATTTGACCACAAATTTGGGTCTAGAAGTGAAACAATCTCAATTTTAATGAAGATATTATTTTATCTGTCCATCGAATATACTAGTATATTTTGTGAACTGTTAGGCATATTTTGAGTATAATGTCAAAATTAATATTAAGTATTATTTATCATCCGAATCTAAACCACACCTAAAACTCTTCTTAATTCAGCGTCATAACCTTTAACAAACACTAAATTCAGCGTCATAACGCATCCGCCATTTCGGCAGTTACCTTTTTGTTGCACACTGTGCCATCACTCCGCCATTTCAGAAACTTGTCTTACTCCACCACTCTTGGATTAGCTTACTTTTTTAAAGGACTCTTTGGATCTGCTATCGCTTATATGTCCTCTGTTGGGTTGCTCTACTTACCTGTTTCAATTTTCTCCTTAATATTTGCTTCACAGTTAGCCTTCACTGCTTTCTTCTCATACTTCCTAAACTCACAAAAGTTCACTCCTTTCATCATCAATTCTCTGTTTCTCCTCACTGTTTCCTCTGCCCTCCTTGTGTTCAATGATGAGTCACAGAACAGAAGAAACGTCTCTAGAGAAGAATATATGATAGGCTTCATATGTACCATCACTGCTTCTGCTGGACTTGGACTGATATTATCTCTGGTACAAGTAATCCTCAGGAAAGTTTTGAAGAAGCCTACCTTCTCAGCAGTCATAGACATGGTCATCGTCCAGTCTCTAGTTTCAAGCTGTGTGGTTCTTATAGGACTTTTTGCGAGTGGAGAGTGGAAATCTTTGACAAGTGAGATGGAAAGCTACAGACTTGGGAAGGTATCATACGTTGTGAATTTGGCCTCTGCTGCTATTTCCATGCAACTCTGCAATATTGGCGGTGTAGGATTGATCTTTGAGTCATCTTCTGTGTTCTCTAATATCATATCTGCTGTGGGATTGCCTATAGTACCAGTTGTAGCAGTGATTGTTTTCAATGATGAAATGGATGCATCGAAGATCTTCTCCATCATTTTAGCTATTTGGGGTTTCCTTTCATTTGTATATCAGCATTACCTTGACGAAAAGAAGTTGAAGTCTTGCCACAAAAACCTTGTCAAGGAAGAAGAAGATTCACAAGCTTGATGAAAAGCCAAAGAAGTATCTCTTTTCTTTCACTGCAACAAAACTTATTAAATTTCAAGTGTACTTATGGCCTCTCTGTTTTGTTGTATTGTATACTTGTTGGCTTCTGAAACACGTTTCACTAAACTCAGCCTATTTTACCAACGTTTTGTTGTAGGGAGTATAGCCGCCAGTTAAAAGTTTTCAGGAATTAAAGAACTCTATGTCAATTGTAAGCAAGAAGCATCTCTTACCCTAGATCCTATTGAAAACAAATCAACTGATTCTGTTCATGAAATATGCTAACCATGAGTGCTGTTTCTTTATGTTTTCACAAATTTTAACAGAGAAATATACTGAAAAAATGATGAAGTTTCATCGCTTTTCTCAAATGTTATAGGAATGCTCTTGGTTTACCTGTTGTTCCTAGCTACTCTTGCTGTTTTGTTCTTCCAAGAAGAGATGAGCGGAATCAAGTTGGTTGCGATGGTTTTGGATATATGGGGATTTGTTTCTTATGCTTACTAGCATTATGTTGATGATGGAAAACCAGAACAAGTAGATCAGGAGAAAGAAGAGCAAGAGCTTCTTCAACTTGAAGATGTAGAAGAAAAACAAGATAACAGTCATATCCAAGCTTAGACAAAAGATCCCAAAACCATTTGCAAGCTTTAATAAGTTTGAGTCACTTTTAATCTGAGGTAAACAGTTATATATTGTAGACACCATAAGAAAACTGGACACTTAATAATTTTGTCAAGTGTAGTCACTAGTCAACGCTTCTCTGTCTTTTTCGTATGTTGACATTTAAGCTAATAGATGCCTAGAAAAAAAAAAATCAAGACAGCCAAGTAAAGACTAAAGTATTAAGACTAGAATGAGGGAAAAGAAAACAAAGACAAGCCTATATTAACAACTTACCATTTAAAGCTTTCAAGAACTCCAAGAAAACTCAAAGTGAACACTTACTAAATTAAAAATACCCTGTTCTACTTAGAGCTGTCATGGAAAAATCTCAAGAACTCTATGGCAATGGTAAGAAAAAAGCACATAATAGTGTTGTAGACCCCTTTGAAAAGCATTTGAAAAGATATAGATCATTAAACAAAAAGTATGAAAACCCTTTCAAGCTTTGATAAGTTTGAGCCAATTTTAATCTAAAGTAAGCAGTTATATATTGTAGACACCACAAGAAAATTGGCAACTTATTAAATATTGTAAAGTGTAAGTTGTGGTGTCTATAATATATAACTATTTACTTTACAATATTTAATAAGATTCCAATCTTTTTCGTATTTTTGTTGACGTCAATCCACCTAAAAGATGCCTAGAATAAAAAAATCAAGACACAAAGGAGATTTAAGTTAAAAGAATTCAAGTAAGACTATTAAGTATATACCACCCCACCATCTGAGGGTTTCAAGAACTCCAAGAAAACTCAAAGCCAACGTTAGAGTAAAATTCTGTTCAACTTAGCCCTGTCATGGAAAGATCTCAAGAACTCTATGGAAATGGTAAGCAAAAAAAAAGCACATAGTAGTGTAGATTTCTTTAAAATAGCATCTGAAAACAGGTAGATCATTTGATTTTTTTTTTTTTTTTAAACGAGAGATAATTATGAGTGCAGTCTTTTGTTTCACCTAAAATGTTCTTTATGATGTTTCAGGTGACCAGAACTTAGAAGCGCACCTAATAGATCAGGAGGTGAGAGAATCATCGGTAACTCAAGCCAAGAACTATAAAAAGTGGCTCAGTGTCTCCATCTATGCATTCTTGGTCCTTACCTGCCAAGCACTTTCTACAATCATGAGCAGATTGTACTATGAAAATGGTGGAAAGAGTACATGGATGGTAACGCTTGTCCAACGCGTAGGCTTCCCTGTTCTGTTGCTATTTCGCCTCTTTACACGAGATGGACAACAACCAGAAAAAACAGATCCATGTTTCAGACACTTGTCTTACTCCACCACTCTTAGATTAGTTTACTTTTTAAAAGGTATCTTAGGATCCGCTGTCTGTTACATGTCCTCAGTTGGGTTGCTCTACTTACCTGTTTCTACTTTCTCCCTAATCTTTGCTTCGCAGTTAGGCTTCACTGCCTTCTTCTCATATTTCCTTAACTCCCAAAAGTTCACACCTTTCATCATCAATTCTCTGTTTCTCCTCACTGTTTCCTCTGCCCTCGTCGTGCTCAACGATGAGTCGCAGAACACAAGAAACGTCTCTAGAGAAGAATATGTGCTAGGCCTCATATGTACCATCACTGCTTCTGCTGGACTTGGACTGATATTATCTCTGGTACAAGTAATCCTCAGGAAAGTTTTGAAGAAGCCTACCTTCTCAGCAGTCATAGACATGGTTATCGTCCAGTCTCTAGTTTCAAGTTGTGTGGTTCTTATAGGACTTTTTGCGAGTGGAGAGTGGAAATATTTGTCAAGTGAGATGGAAAGCTACAGACCTGGGAAGGTATCATACGTTATGACTTTGGCCTCTGCGGCTATTTCCATGCAACTCTGCAATATTGGTGCTGTGGGATTGATCTTTGAGTCATCTTCTGTGTTCTCCAATATCATATCTTCTGTGGGATTGCCAATGGTACCAGTTGTAGCAGTGATAGTTTTCAATGAGAAAATGAATGCATCTAAGATCTTCTCCATCATTTTAGCTATCTGGGGCTTCCTTTCATATTTCTATCAGAGTTACCTCGACGAAAAGAAGTTGAAGTCTTCCCACAAAAACCTTGTCCAGCAAGAAGATTCACAAGCTTGATGTAAAGCAAAAAATTTATCTCTTTTCTTTCACTGCAATAAAACCTTGTAAATTTCAATTCAAGTGTACTTAAGGCTTCACAGTCTTGTTGTATTGTAATTGTATCTTTGTTGACTTCTGAATCAACTTCAACAGATATTAAGCCAAAAAAAGTCAGACACAAACAATAAAACGTTTCACCGAACTCAGCTTATTTCAACAATGTTGTGTGTAGGAATTTTGCTTAGAGCCGCCAATGAAAAGGTTTCAAAAATTCCAAGTCAACGGTAAACAAGAGCTTATAAAATATGTCACACTTGACTCCACGCTTCATTTATATAACAGCTTTACTATAAAAATAAATGTTTGTGGGAAGTCCTCTTAGAGCTGCCATGGAAAGAACTCAAGAACTCTATTCCAATGGTTAGCAAGAAGCATCTTGTAGTGTTTGATCAGTCTTTATTCTTGTAATGAAATATGCTAACCATGATGTTTCTCTATGTTTTCAGATGAGCAGAGCATAGAAGAAAACCTACCAGCTCAAGAAGAAATGAATACCACCGTGGAAATCGAATCATCGTCCATACCTCAATCAAAGAATCACAAGAGGTGGCTTCATATCTCCATTTATGTATTCTTTGTCCTCTCCTGCCAAGCACTAGCTACAATTCTTGGTAGATTGTACTACGAAAATGGTGGTAAGAGCACATGGATGGGAACACTTGTCCAACTCATAGGCTTCCCTGTTCTGTTTCTCTTCCGCTTCTTCTCCCAAATCAAAGCCCCCAAATCAACAGATACAACAACTTCCATCCAGTTTCCTTCTTTCACCACTCTTGGATCAGTTTACATTATCACTGGACTGTTAGTCTCTGCTAACTCTTATATGTCTTCCATTGGTTTACTCTACTTACCAGTTTCTACTTTCTCACTCATCTTGGCCTCACAATTAGCCTTCACTGCCTTCTTCTCATACTTCCTAAACTCACAAAAGTTCACACCTTTCATTGTAAATTCTCTGTTTCTCCTCACCATTTCCTCTGCTCTCCTTGTGGTCAACACCGAGTCTCAAAACACAACAAACGTTTCAAGAGTAAAATATGTTATAGGGATCATATGCACCATTGGTGCTTCTGCTGGGATTGGTCTGCTTCTATCTCTTGTACAGCTGATCCTCAGGAAGGTTTTAAAGAAGCACACAATCTCAACGGTCATGGATTTGGTCGCTTACCAGTCTCTAGTTGCAAGTTGTGTGGTTCTCATAGGACTTTTTGCGAGTGGAGAGTGGAACACTTTGACCAGTGAGATGAGAAGCTACAAACTTGGGAAAGCGCCATATGTTATGACTTTGGTCTCTATAGCTATATCTTGGCAAGTCTACACCATTGGTGTTGTGGGGTTGATCTTTGAGTCATCTTCTGTGTTCTCTAACTCTATAACTGCTGTTGGATTGCCTATAGTTCCGGTAGTAGCAGTGATTGTTTTCCATGATAAAATGAATGCATCAAAGACCTTCTCCATCATTTTAGCTATGTGGGGCTTCATTTCATTTGTTTATCAGCACTACCTCGACGAAAAGAAGATTAGCCATACAAATCCTGTAGAAGTTACTCGTCTACCGGTTGAGGAAGGTCACAGAGACATTCAAATAGTATGATTGCATATATTCTGTATAAAGCTCATGTATCTCTCTGTAGATGTTATTCAGTTAAAACTTGTAAGTAGCTGATAAATTTTGTACACAAGATAAAAAATGTAGCAACTTGAATAGTAACTATTTTCGTCCTTTGCAACAAAAATTCTTAAAATGTAAAGAAAAGTGTACACAAGGAGCCGCCACAGTGAGGTTTCAAGAATTCCAAGTCAAGTGGAAGCAGAAAAATCAAAGTCAAAGGTCAACAAGAGCCTACTAGATTATGCGCTTGTCACCTTCATCATCTGTTTAATCATAATGTCATAATGCAACTTGTGTGGGGTATTTGGCTTTTTGCTTTGTAATAAAGATGTTTATAAAGAGTACGGAGAGGTCTTTTGTGTATTTGCAAGATATCTCAAACAGATAACAATCAATAAAGACAACTTACTTTCAGTAGTCCTTCTTTCTCATTTCTCATGGACAGATCTCAAGAACTTTATGCCAATGGTAAGCAAGAAGCACCTGGTACTGTTAGATCCTTTGATTCTTGTTTTTATTCATGAAAATAAAATAACCATGAGAGTGTTAATTTTTTCAGGTGACCAGAACTTAGAAGCAAACCTAATAGATCATGAGGCAACTGAATCACCATCATCAATACCTCAAACGAGAAACTATAAAAGGTGGCTTCGTGTCTCCATTTATGTCTTCTTTGTCCTCTCCTGCCAACCACTTGCTACAATTCTTGGTAGACTCTACTATGAAAATGGTGGAGAAAGCACCTATGTGGTAACACTTCTCCAAATCATTGGCTTCCCTGTTCTCATTCTCTACCGCTTCTTTTCACAAATCAGACAGCCAAAATCAACAGATACAGATTTCAATCAGTCTCCTTCCTTCACCACACTTGCATTAGTTTACATATCCACTGGACTGCTAATATCTGTTTACGCTTATCTCTCTGCAATTGGTTTACTCTACTTACCTGTTTCTACTTTCTCACTCATCTTGGCTTCACAATTAGCCTTCACTGCCTTCTTCTCATACTTCCTTAACTCGCAAAAGTTCACACCTTTCATAGTCAATTCTCTGTTCCTACTTACTGTCTCCTCTGCTCTCCTTGTGGTCAACACTGAGTCTCAAGACACAACACATGTCTCTAGAGTACAGTATGTGATCGGGTTTATATGCACCATTGGTGCTTCCGCTGTGATTGGACTGTTGCTATCTCTGATACAACTTCTATTCAGAGAAGTTTTCAAGAAGCATACATCCTCAGCAGTCATGGACTTGGCTATTTACCAGTCTCTAGTTGCGAGCTGTGTTGTTCTCATAGGACTTTTCGCCAGTGGAGAGTGGAGAACTCTGCCAAGTGAGATGAGAAACTACAAACTGGGGCAAGTGTCATATGTTGTAACTTTGGCCTCTGCAGCTATTTCTTGGCAAGTCTATACAGTTGGTCTTGTGGGATTGATTTTTGAGTCGTCTTCTGTCTTCTCCAATTCCATAACTGCTGTGGGATTGCCTATAGTACCAGTCGTAGCTGTGATAGTTTTTCATGATCAAATGGAAGCATCAAAGATCTTCTCCATCATTTTAGCAATCTGGGGCTTCCTCTCATTTGTCTATCAGCACTACCTCGATGAAAAGAACTTGAAGAATTGCCACACAAACCCTGTTGAAGAAGATACACAAACAAACATACAAAGTTAAGCTCGCGTGTGTAATTTTCTGTAATGGTCCATGTGTATGTCTCTCCGTATATCTTTAGCACATATATCAGAAATGTGTGAGTCTATGAATGAGAAATGTTGTACATAAAGATACCGATATTTTTTTAGTTTGAAGGAATATGTGATTATAGTGTAGTAAGGTTTGTTCTCTGATGTGTTCCTGTCTTATGCTCTGTTTCTAAATTTGCTGTCTTTGAACACACTCATGTGTTTGGTTTCAAATCGAACCAACTAGTCAAAATAACATCTTCTAATTTGGTCCATCAGCCATTCCTCTTATTCTTTCTACCTACTCTTCAAACTTTCCATCATAGTATTTACAGTTTTTCTCTTCTTTATCTTCCTTAGTTTGGTTTAGTCTGTGTTTGGTATTGCATACCAGAAGTGAAATGGAAAGGGTAGGTGAAGATGAGGAGAAGTCCATTGAAGAAGAAGCAAGCACCTCAGTAGAGGAGACGAGGAGTGATAACAAAGACGAAAGGAGCAGAGAAACAATCACTGAACTGGTTGATACAGTAGGTTCAACAGAAGAAGTCTCCACGGATCCATCTAACTCACAGTCAGTGACCTTTGAAGATCATGATGTAAATGGATATGAAATGGAAGACGAGCAGGTTGTCGAGCTTTCCAGACGTAATAGCCGTGTGAAACCTGAGGTCTCCGAGACAAACACCTTCCCATATCTGAATAAGTCTGAAGGGATGGTACTTCAGTTCCAAGAAGAAACTCCTGCAGAAACAGAACAAACAAATGTATTGTTCCATGGTTTGAGTAGTCTGAATTCGCCGGAAATACATGAGGGAACCAAGTCATCATAATCTTCAAATGAGGACAATGAGGGTTCATCCAGCAACTCAGACCTTGATTCTAGCCTTTCCAGGTACTATTTTGACGGGTCCTTACCGGTTTCAGCTCATGCTGAAGAATCTGAAACCCATCAAGATGAAAACCAGGTTCGCAACTATACCCTAAACAAGAAAATGACACATCTTTCTCCATAAGCACCAATCAGTTGTAGCTCTAACCTTTAGTTTATTAAGACACTAGCCATTACATTTTTTCAGATACCTCTACTGCGCCCTAACAATCCCGTGCAGCAACAAACTTCGTGGAGGAATTGCTGCGGACTCCTTGAGCTTCTCCGGGCTTCTCATCCATTAGATACTGATACCAGAAAAAGTTGAACTACAAAATAATAATTTTATGGTGTTTTGGTAACTAATCCTAATCTGTAATTATCATCCTAAAGTTCAAGACCAGGCATGGAAACCCCTAGGTGTACGCTTATCCACATGCCTCATCATAAGAGAACAATAGTCAGACGGAACAAGCCAAAGAAATTCAGAAGGACGAAGAACTTTAAATTTATCATCCTAAAGGTCACACAGTCATAAAACTTGTGCATCTGTCATTCATATATAAAAACGTGTTTAGTATCTACCTATCTATGCGTATGACTGTATAAGGTTCATGATTATAACACAGCTACAAAATAAATTATGAATGAGTGAGTGTTGACTACAAATCATTTCCTTCTAGACTTTCACACTTCTTGGTCAACAAAAGTGGCATCGTTGCAAGTAGAACGATAAAAGATATTATATTCATGGCCAGAGAAGAGATATTTGTAGTTTGGCATTTACTGAATGTGGGGACAAGAACAATGAAAACTTAAGACAAGTGACCGATTCCTCATCCCTGATTATATATATAGCTATAGACATCTCACCAATATCAAAATAAAAAGATATCATTTGGTAGCATATTAGCAAACAAGAAAATTGATAATAACATACCTAATACTATATAATTCGTTCAAAGCGTCATTAGCTCCTCTTTGTCCATCTCCATCTCCATCTCCACAATGAAGGGTGACCAAGAACTACAAGTCATCGGTAAGCAAGCATAAACTGGTCTCTCATCTTCAAAAAAGAAAGAAAAAGATGGTTATGATATCTCACTATTCAATATATAAAACTATGTTACAAATGCCAAGAAAATAAGCTAATTTTTGGCGTTATTTTCTTCTCACTTGCTAGTTCACCAAGGAGATGAACCAAATCCAAAATTTCAAGAAGAAAGAAATTCGATCAGTAGCAGCCAAAAAGAAGTACCTAACTCAACTACATACAAACGGTGGATCGGGTGATTGTATACACATTCTTTGCCATTTCAGGCCAAGCAGTTGCTACAATTCTCGGCAGACTATACTATGAAAATGGAGGAAGCAGCAAATGGCTAGCAACGGTAATTCAAGTTGTGGGCTTTCCTGTTCTACTTCCATATTATCTCTTGTCAATCAAAACACATAAAACGAAAACTCAGAGAGATGGCAAAACAACCTCACTTCGGAACCGTGTATCGGTTTACGCAGTTCTTGGACTTCTTGTAGGAGCAAACTGCTACCTATACTCCATCGGACTACTTTACCTACCTGTTTCCACCTTCTCCCTGATCTGTGCATCTCAGCTAGCTTTCAACGCTTTCTTCTCTTATTTCCTCAACTCCCAAAAACTTACTCCAATCATTTTGAATTCTCTTTTGCTCCTGACTATATCTTCCACCCTCCTTGCATTCAATAATGAGGAATCAAAGTCCACGAAAGTTACAAAAGGAGAGTATGTCAGAGGTTTCATATGCACTCTTGGTATGTCTGCTGGGTATGGTCTATTCTTATCCCTACAACAGGTAGCTTTTCGTAAAGTACTAAAGAAGCAAACGTTCTCAGAAGTTATGGACATGATGATTTACGTGAGTCTAGTGGCCAGTTGTGTTACTATGGTGGGGCTTTTCGCTAGCAGCGAGTGGAAAACTTTGAGCAGTGAAATGGAAAACTTCAAGCTTGGGAAGGTATCTTACACTATGAACCTAGTGTGGACAGCTATTACCTGGCAGGTTTTCGGCATCGGTGGCACTGGACTGATCTTCGAGCTTTCCTCTCTGTTTTCAAATTCAATAAGCGTTTTGGGACTTCCCGTGATTCCTATCCTGGCTGTAATCATTTTCCATGACAAAATGAATGGGTTAAAGGTGATTTCTATGATCCTAGCTATTTGGGGTTTCACATCCTATCTCTACCAACAATATCTTGATGAAAAAAACTTGAAGCAAAGTCAGGGGAGCCCAACAAGAGAATCAGCAGAAGCAGAAGTGTCAAGTGCGCAATCAAAATAAACTGATACTTAGAAAGATGGTGTAATGCAGTTTTCATATTTCAGCAAGCTTATTGAATAAACTGACTTTCTTATCAGCTTGAAGACAGCCTACAATGAATAATAAATAGAATACATTTTTTCATGCAACTCAAGTGAAGTCTTAGCGTGTAATGTCTTTTGCATCATTGTAACAGGAAGTAGATATAATGTAAATAAATAGTGAATGACTCTGGTTTAGTTCTGAAAAAAGATTACCCGAACAACATTGAAAGCTCAGTGGAATGGCATCCAATACTCCATAAAAGCGATTTACAAAATTTCAGTGGAAGCATCAAAGATCTTCTCCATCATTTTAGCTATATGGGGATTCTTTACGTTTGTCTATCTGCACTACCTTGATGAAAAGAAGTTGAAGACTTGCCACGCGAATCCTGTGGAGGAAGATACTGAACTTGATGGAAACGTTGGAGGACATACAAAAAACAAAACATACAAAGTTGTGCACGCAATCATACTTATGGAAGTCTCTGACTTTCCAATCAATGTATTGTAGTGACTTCCTCTGTCATCCAATAATAAGGTGCAAATTAGCGTCTTTTTCTTGAAAAAGATAGGCGAGACATAATCTGCATCGTTTTAGCTAACCTCAGACATTATCTTGATGAAAGAAACTTCAACACTAGCCAGAGAAACCCCAATTGTATTCCTAATCCACGTGTTTCAGCATAAGAGAAAGCTAGCCAGACGGAACAAGCCAAATTAATTCATAGAGCCAGCGAACTTTCAAAATATTCAGCCTGAAGGTCTCATCATACAAGTTGTTGGGCCTATGCGTCTGGTTGATGTTCCTCCACACAGCTGCAAAAGAAATTATGAATGAATATTGGCTTCACAGCATTTACTACTCTTGACTTAACTCATCTCTTGGTCAACAATAGTGGCATCTTTGCAAAGAATTGAAATTCATGACAAGATAAGAGATATTTTGTTGGCATTAACTGAGTGTGGGGCCAAGTACAGTGAAAACGTAGACCGTGACCGATTCCTAATCGCTGAATATATAGCTATAGCATGTGTCACCAATATAAAAAGAAAGTATATCTATAGCATGTGTCACCAATATAAAAAGAACAAAAAAAGCTATCTTTTGATACCAAAGAGAATTGATAAAAAAAGGTACCTAATTCTTATAATTTGTTCAGCTCCTCTTTTTGGCCATTTCCAAGGAGGTAATTCCACCTCCACCATGAAGGATGATCAAGAACTACAAGTAATTGGTGAGTACACATAAACCGAGAACTTACTGGTCTTTCATCTTCAGAAAAAAAGAAAGAAGAATATGGTTATGATAGATTACTACTTCTTATATGAAAACAAAATAAACTATAAACTAATCTTTTGCTATATTTGCCCTCACTTACCAGTTCATCAGGGAAAAGAACCAAATCCAACAGTTCAAGACGAAAGAAATTCGGTCAGTAGCAGCCAAACAGAAGTACCTAACTCAAATACGTACAAACGGTGGATCCGGGTGATTGTCTATACATTCTTTGTCATTTCAGGCCAATCAGTCGCTACAATTCTAGGCAGACTCTACTATGACAATGGAGGAAACAGCAAATGGCTAGCAACGGTAGTTCAACTTGTAGGCTTTCCTGTTCTACTTCCATATTATCTTGTGACAGTCAAAACACACACAACAACAACTCCTCATGGAGATGGCAAAACAACCTCGCCTAGGAACCGTATATTGGTTTACGTAGTTCTTGGACTTCTTGTAGGAGGAGATTGTTACCTATACTCCATCGGACTACTTTACCTACCCGTTTCTACCTTTTCCCTGATCTGTGCATCTCAGTTGGCCTTCAACGCTTTCTTCTCTTATTTCATCAACTCACAAAAACTTACTCCAATCATTTTGAATTCTCTTTTGCTCCTAACCATATCTTCCACCCTTCTTGCATTCAATAATGAGGAATCAAGCTCCCAAAAAGCTACAAAAGCAGACTATGTCAAAAGTTTCATATGCACCATCGCTGCTTCTGCTGGGTTTGGTCTAGTCCTATCCCTACAACAGCTAGCCTTCCACAAAGTCCTAAAGAAGCAATCTTTCACAGAAGTTATGGATATGATCATCTACGTGAGTCTAGTGGCCAGTTGTGTTAGCTTGGTGGGGCTATTTGCTAGCAGCGAGTGGAAAACTTTGAGCAGTGAAATGGAGAACTACAAGCTTGGGAAGGTATCTTACGTTATGAACCTAGTGTGGACAGCTATTACCTGGCAGGTCTTCAGCATCGGTGGCACGGGACTTATCTTCGAGCTTTCCTCTCTATTTTCAAATGCAATAAGCGTTTTGGGACTTCCCGTGGTTCCTATCCTGGCTGTCATCATTTTCCATGACAAAATGAACGGGTTAAAGGTGATTTCTATGATCTTAGCTATTTGGGGTTTCGCATCCTATGTCTACCAACACTATCTTGATGACCAAAACTTGAAGAAAAGTCAAGGAATCGACCCACCAGAAGCAGAAGAGTCAAGTGGGCAATCAAAATAAGCTGATATTTCGAAAAGTCAGTGTCTCATAGTTCAGCGAGCTGATTAAGTAAACTTTCTTTTCTTATGGACCAGAAGGCAGCCTTCAATGAACTCGAGCAAAGTCTCAGCGTGAAATCAATTGTAACAGAATGTAGATTTCATTTAAATAGTGTATGACTCTGGTTTAGTAAGAAGATTATCCATATCACATTGTAAGCTCATTGGAATGGTATCACCAACTTTAGAACAGCTAGATTAGGAAAGTTCATTATTCAAAACTTGAGTTCATAGCAACCAAAGACAAGTATGATGAAAATGAGACTCGATTTTGTATATAAAGAAAGAGAAAAAAATGTAGGCTTTGTAGCTATCCTAAGTTATTGTAATAAAACTAGGTGTGAGAAGAGTTACAACCAGCTTACATCAGGCACCCAACATAGTGAGCCCGAGGATACTTCTTTTGCAGTTGAGGCCATTGAACAAAGAATTGATCAGCTATCCTTAACTTGTAAAGCAGCAATCCACTTAACGAGAGCTTCTTAACTCTTGCAACGCTCTCAACGTAAAAGATAGATGACCATCTAATTCCTAGCACCTGTAACCAAAGATGAAACAAGCACAACATAAATTGGAGAAACCATGACTAATAATCAAATCGAAAACACTCTCTAATTTTTGCCACAGGTCCATTCAAATTCATCCAAAAAAGTAAACCAAACAACTGAGTACTAAAATACTTTTGAAGTGTGTATACCTTGAACAAGAAAGCGATGACACACAGAGGAATACAAGTCCCAGGACCATTGCAAAGAATCTGCAAAAACATCAACCAGATTATATGTATAAAACCTGATTCAAATGTTTTAAAGAATAAACCTTAAAAACGTGAAAGCATTCAGATAAAAATCATACCACTTGTGGTCTGATCCGGATCATTAGCCACAGAGCATGAGCAATAGCAACAATGGTAGTCCAAACAGAAGTCACATAAGACTGGCCAACTTCTCGACTTCGGTAAATTTGCATAAACTGTGAGGAGGCTTCCTTACCAGCATTCTGTGTCACAGCCATATCAAGCACAGAAAACAAAATTAATCAATCGATTAAAGAGTATCCCGATTAGCTCAAGACAAGCATATGGGAGAAGCAGCATAATCCAAAGAAGAAGGATAAAAAGATAAAAGCATTTAAGTATACCTTGTCAGCTACAGAATCTTCAAAACTACGAGCTTTCTGGAGACTCATGTTATCCGTAGCTGCAGCAATGTAAAACCTCGGTGCAAATCTGTCCTTCCGCAAAACAGAGAGGAGGCTCAACATCTCTGCCGTGTGTCCCCCTGATGAAGCAACATTTTCATCTTATCAAATGATCTGCACATCATCACATGTATCCAATTGAATAGGAGACTGCACCAACTCTTCTTACCAGAACCAAGAACAATAAGAGTACTCAATGACTGTGAAGCTCCTTTCGGGAAAGGTTTTCCACACCGGTATATAACATACAGTACACGAGCCATCAGAACGATTGTCAAGCTAATTACAATTAGACTGATGCTGCATTTGGAAGCCATCTTTGAGTACATGCAGCAATGGTGTTCCTCCATGATCCTGATAACTCTCTTCTCTTTCCAAACTACATTTTTGCAAAAACATGTACCAAACATGAGATCTATCGTCAAGCTTCTAAATCCAATCAAATCAAACATGAAGATAGAAACAACACAAAGGGAGAAGCTTCGTGAATTTGCACTCTCAGAAAAGGAAATTCTAAGTTCGTCGCAGTCAAAATGTGATGAAGAATTTGAGCATACCTGAGATTATAAAGGGTAATGGTAACAGAGGAATCGCAAGGGATGCAATTACTGGGTCCGAGAAAATTTGAACCAAGTTTCACTATCGGAAATAATCAAATGAATTAGGGCTTGGCGGATTGGTGACAAGTGAGAGGAGATACGGCCGGCAGAGAGGGACGACGGTGAAGTAATCGTCGGAAAGGTTAATCTCAGATCGAGAAAGCTTTTTGTATCTCTTGAAATCGCGATCGAGAGAGACAAAGAGAAGTTGGTGACAAGGCTCGAAAGTTTGCTGGGCCAAGGACGTGTCTCAAGCTTCGGAGTTTTTTCAGAGGGAGCCGTACGTAGAGAACTCGCCGGAGATTGCAGAATTTCGCCGGGACGGCAATGGGACCGTTTCTGTCACCGCCTGGATTCGATTTTCATTGGTTACCGAGTCACTTCTTTTCATCACCGTTCGATTTAGATATTGCTTAGAGTACACGTGGCGAAAGCACGTGACTTTAATTTTTTCTTCTTTCTTCTTTTTCTGAAAAAGATACGAAGAACTCGTGAAGAAGATATCACACTGTAACTTAAAAAAAATGAGTTATTTTCCTTCCCAAAACCTCCGTTGAAGCAAAGCTTGAATCTTTTATTCGTACAGGAGTTATCTAATCAATGACGACGAAGGTATCTAGCTGTTTCTTGTTCCATGGATTAGCAGGAATCTCCCGCGAGAGAGAACATGGCACTTCTCGTCGATTTTTTTTCTATGTCCCTTCGCGTCGTTTACTTCCTGCTTCATGTAAGATGCGTCAACAACGTGGTTTCGAGTGAGTGTTTCCGCCGATTTTGCTCGTTTCGTTTTTTTGCTTTTGTGGGTTTGGGAATTAGGTGCGAAATTCGATTAAATTATATAACCATTTTCTCTGATTTTGACGAACTCAGCATTTTTGAATATGATGATTCTGCTCTTAGATACCTTGCGTAGTGTAGTTTGTCTTACCGTTGAACTTATCTCTGGTTTCATTTATAAAAAATTTGGTTTTTGTTTTGCATTTTGAAATCTTTCTTTTCCTCAGCTCTAGAGTTTTAGTGGATGCTCTGTGAATTTGGTTATGACTATCTTGACTTTAGATTCATTTATCCGGGAAGATGATGAGTTTGGAGAGTAGTCTGAGAGTTAAAATGTTGATTTTAGTTAGAAAATCAAATAAAAAAGTTGCCTTTGGTTTTTGATACACTCCAATTTGTAACCTGGAAGCTGTAAAGCTAGCCTCTTTTTGCAGTTTAATTCCTTTTCTATTCTTATGATATCTTGACATAATCTCAGCTCCAATAAAAGTCGAGAAATCAAGAAAGGCTCTCCTGAACCAATCCTACCGATAAATTCGAGTCTTCAAGGGAACAGTGATGAGGAATCGGAACCTGAAAATGGTTCAGCAGACAGTGTTTCAAGCCTCGAATCCAATGTAGAAAAGGGATACAATGAAATTACTGAAAAGAAAGATGGTATACAGAAGACTGAAGTTACTCGGCTTAAAGGTAAACCTGCAAAGAAGAAGGAGGAGAGTGTTCCTGCCGCTATTGATATCAGGCACGACGATGATGGACAGAACTTAAATAATTTGACTGTGCCTGAGGTTGCAAAAGCTTTGGTACGGATTTCGTTTTTTGCGTAGTTATGGTATATACTGACTCTCCAACTCTTAAAAGACCTTCTTCTGATGACTTCTGTAAATCATTTTTCAGTCTATAAACGAAGGTGGAGGCGAGCAATCTTCAGATGGACAGTTTGGGGAACTAATGACTATGATAAGAAATGCAGAGAAAAGTGAGTTTTTGTTTTCCCTGTTTTGATTGTATCTGTGTGTTTATTTCGTATATAGTGAAATCAGATGTTAAAGTCCTGATGACACACTTATGTGCCAGATATTCTTCGGCTTGACCAAGCACGGGCCACTGCTCTTGATGACCTTAACAAGATCCTAAGCGAAAAAGAAGCATTGCAGGGAGAGATCAATGTTCTGGAAATGAAACTGTCAGACAGTGATGAAAGGATTGAAACTGCTGCTCAAGAGAAAGTTCGTGCAGGGCTTCTGGAAGAGCAGTTAGAGAAGCTTCGCCATGAAATGATATCCCCGCCAGATAGTGATGGTTATATTCTAGCTCTTGGCAAAGAACTCGATACACTGAAGCTACAGAATCTGTCTTTGAGAAGCGATATAGAAATGCTTAAGTCAGAACTTCACAGTGTTAAAGATACTGATGAACGCGTGGTTGTGTTGGAAAAGGAATGCTCCGGTTTGGAGTCTTCTGTAAAGGATTTGGAGTCTAAGTTTTCGGTTTCTCAAGAAGATGTCTCGAAGCTTTCTACTCTTAAAACCGAATGCACTGATCTATGGACGAAGGTGGAGAATCTTCAGCTGTTGTTAGATAGAGCTACAAAACAAGCAGAGCAAGCAGTTTTAGTGTTACAACAGAACCAAGATCTCAGAAATAAGGTTGATAAGATCGAGGAATCACTTAAAGAGGCTAATGTTTATAAAGAGTCATCAGAAAAGATTCAACAGTACAATGAGCTAATGCAGCATAAGGTGAAATTGCTTGAGGAGCGGCTCGAAAAGTCTGATGCAGAGATATTCTCGTATGTTCAGTTATATCAAGAATCGATCAAAGAATTTCAGGAGACTCTTGTAAGTTTGAAGGCAGAAAGCAAGAAAAAGGCAAGAGATGAACCAGTGGATGATATGCCTTGGGACTATTGGAGTCGTTTACTTCTAACTGTTGATGGATGGCTGCTTGAAAAGAAAATAGGAAGCGATGATGCAGACTCACTGAGAGAAATGGTTTGGAAGAAAGACAGAAGAATTCATGATACGTACATTGACGTCAAAGACAAGAGTGAACGCGATGCTATCTCTGCATTTCTCAAGCTTGTGGCATCGCCAACAAGGTAATCAACGCCTTTGTAAATGCTTTTTTTCTTTTCCGGTTTTAACTATTGCTGAAAGAGTAACCTATTTTTTTCTTCATATGGTGTTGGTTCTAGTTCAGGATTGCATGTCGTTCACATTGCAGCTGAGATGGCACCTGTAGCTAAGGTATTTTCAGCTTAACTCCAAAGAAAAGTTATCTTGCTTTCATGTTAATTTTCAACTTTTTCATCCCGTTTTCCTGATTTCCTTATGTACTTTCTGTAGGTGGGCGGTTTGGGGGATGTTGTGGCCGGTCTTGGTAAGGCATTGCAAAGAAAAGGTCATTTGGTGGAGATCATTCTTCCTAAATATGACTGTATGGAGTATGATCGCGTGCGTGACTTAAGGGTAATGTTGCTGCAACTCGATAAATCTATAAATAATAAGAGGACTATAAACTTTTTGTTGTTCTTGATGATGGACTGAATTTTGCACCGCAGGCATTGGATACTGTTGTGGAGTCATATTTTGATGGGAAGTTATATAAAAACAAAATCTGGGTTGGCACTGTTGAAGGTGAGGAGACTTTGTTTTTTCTCTTGTGGTTGTGTCTTTTGATTTTCAATAACCAAAGTCTTTTCTTTCTCTCTATATACAGGTTTGCCTGTACATTTCATTGAGCCTCAACATCCGAGCAAATTCTTCTGGAGAGGACAGTTTTACGGAGAGCAAGATGATTTCAAACGCTTCTCGTATTTTAGCCGCGCTGCCTTAGAGTTGCTTCTTCAGTCCGGAAAAAGACCTGACATCATTCATTGTCATGACTGGCAAACAGCTTTTGTGGTACGGTCTTATCCTTCTTTTGAAACAGTGCCATAGGTCTTTCTGTTTAGGCACCGCTTTTGAAGCTCTTTTTATTATTTCAGGCACCGCTTTATTGGGATCTGTATGCTCCAAAGGGGTTAGATTCCGCAAGAATATGCTTTACATGTCACAATTTTGAGTATCAAGGTACTGCATCTGCTTCAGAATTGGGATCTTGCGGCCTCGATGTTAACCAGTTAAACAGACCAGACAGAATGCAGGATCACTCATCTGGAGACAGAGTCAATCCTGTTAAGGTAAAATGATTACAAAACCAACATAAACCGAGAGAGACATTCAACATTTTGCTCTTATTCATCTCTTTTTCTCCTTTTGTGGTCCAGGGTGCTATAATATTCTCAAACATTGTAACAACTGTGTCCCCTACTTATGCACAAGAAGTTAGAACAGCTGAGGTACAAGATTTCACTTTTAGTATTTTTCAATGTTTGATTGACATATACTAATTGGTCTAATGTATGTATGTACAGGGAGGAAAAGGACTCCATTCAACGCTCAATTTCCACTCAAAGAAATTCATTGGAATCCTCAACGGCATTGACACGGATTCATGGAATCCTGCAACCGATCCTTTCCTCAAGGCTCAGTTCAACGCTAAAGATCTACAAGGCAAAGAAGAAAACAAAACCGCCCTTAGGAAGCAGCTCGGACTTTCTTCAGCCGAGTCAAGACGGCCTCTGGTAACTTTATGTTTCCTCGGATATTGAGAGATTCTTGAGCATAGTTAATTTATACATATGTATTCGGGTATAGGTTGGTTGCATTACAAGATTAGTACCACAGAAAGGTGTTCATCTAATCAGACATGCGATATACAGAACATTAGAGTTAGGTGGACAGTTTGTTCTTCTTGGTTCTAGCCCTGTTCCTCATATTCAGGTAATAAACCCGTCTGGTCCTCAAGATGCTCTCTAGCTTGTGTCTCTTCTTCTTATAAGCTTTGATGCATTTTGTGTTTTTTTTTTCTAGAGGGAATTCGAAGGTATAGAGCAACAGTTTAAAACCCATGATCATGTCCGGTTGTTGCTCAAGTACGATGAAGCTCTGTCTCATTCCATTTACGCAGCTTCTGATATGTTCATCATTCCTTCAATTTTCGAGCCTTGCGGACTTACACAGGTACTATACGAAACATAGTCTCTAGAAGAAACCAAAATATCAATGTGACTTAATAATATTGGTTCATCTTGTACAGATGATTGCTATGAGATATGGCTCCATTCCAATCGTGCGAAAAACCGGAGGCTTAAACGACACGTAAAACCAAAACTTAAGACCTTGTCTATTTGAAACATTGTTTTCTCCAGATGACTTTGAAAATATCATTTCTTTTTCATTTTAATCCTTTTTCAGCGTATTTGACATCGATGATGACACAATACCAACCCAGTTTCAAAACGGATTCACATTTCAATCTGCGGACGAACAGGTAATATAACGATTCTCTCTTCTTTTCGATTGAAATCTCGGTTTAGTTTGGTTCTGTTCTTGGCTGACAAAAGAAGTCTGAAAAAAAACAGGGTTTGAATTATGCATTGGAGCGAGCGTTTAATCACTACAAGAAGGATGAAGAGAACTGGAAGAGAGTTATGGAGAAAGTGATGAGTATAGATTTCAGCTGGGCATCATCGGCTACACAGTACGAAGAACTTTACGCAAGATCATTGGCCAGAGCAAGAGCTTCTGCTAACCGAACGTTGTGAGTTTTTCACATACGAGATTCTTTCTTGTAACGCACGTATTTTATTTTAGTTAATTATATACATATCTTTACTTGTTCATAATAGAAAAATCATTTGGGAGTTTCAATCATATTTAAAAGATACATACTCCCTCATTTTACTTTTAGCACAACTTCATCAAGAAACCAACAAGATCCTAAGATTTTGACAACTTGCTTTGTCTGTTTTGGTTTAGGACTATGATCAAATACATTGTGTTCTTGATCTTTCAGTGTCTTAAACCTCTCTCACTTAACAAACAAAAATAAAATCTTAAACCATTTCCTTGGAAACGATTACAGAACCTTGGTCCGTGGAAAGAGTTTTTCTCTCTAACAAGCTCTGTGTCGAGAGAGTAGAAGTGTCTTGGCTGTCTTTGATAATGTCCCAAGCCGTTACCAGAGGTAAATCGTAGAGAGGCTTAGGTGGAACCTGAAGAGCTTCGAGGCCTCCTTCTAACATCTCAACGACTTTTCTCATTGGTGGACGATCAGATGGATTGGTCTGGATACACCACAAACCCACCAATGTCATCTTCTTCACTATCTTCTCTTCTTCTTCTTCCTCTTCGGTTATATGATCTCCTACAAGTCTAATGGCCTCTTTCCTCTCGAGATCCTCATAGATCCAGTCCGGGAAGTTCATTGAACTTTTGTTGGACCTAGTAGTTTCAGATCTTTTCTTGTTCTTTGCCCCAATCATATCAAGAACCACCATCCCGTAACTATACACATCCGACTTATGAGAAGCTCCACCAAAGTTCTTGGAGAACACTTCAGGAGCAATGTACCCTATGGTGCCTCTCGCGTCTAACAACGATATGATACTCTCCTTGTTATTCCAGAGCTTAGCAAGACCGAAATCCGAAATCTTGGGACACAAGTCTCCGTCCATGAGTATGTTCTGTGGCTTTATATCGAAATGCACAATCTTTGGTACACAACTGTTGTGCAAGTACTCTAAGCCACGAGCAACACCTACCGCAATGTTGTATAAAGTCTTCCAGTCCATCTTCGTTGACATGTTCTCAGAGATAAACTTGTCAAGGGATCCATTCGGCATGAACTCATAGATTATAGCTCTCTTGCTTCCTTCATAGCAGAATCCGAACAGAGAAACTATGTTAACATGAGATGCTCTACTCATGCTGGCTAACTCATTGATGAAGTCTTCTCCATTTCCTTTTGACTCATTCAAGATCTTTATTGCAATATCTCGGCCGCTGGCATCGGGTAACTTTCCTTTGTAGACAGTTCCAAATCCTCCTTTCCCAAGAACATGAGCAAATGAATTCGTCATCTTCTTGACGTTTTCATAACTATATCGTCTCAACATTACAGCCGCTTCAATGTTCTCGTCGTTCGAATAACTCTTTCTTTTTGCGTTATTTGCTCTCACCATCAACGCAATGGCAACAGTTATGATCAACACAGCTAAAGCTGCTACGCCTCCTACAAGAAAAAGAAAAAAGAAAAGCAAAACTTAGGTGTTACGTACATGAATGAATGAGCAAGAAATGTGGTTGGAATGAATGTGCTACCGAGTATGGGTTTTAACTTTCGTAGAGAATTATCTGCAAATGTATCAAACAATAAAATTATGATTAACAAAACTAAGATAAAATTGCATAGAAAATTTTATAGGATGAAGAAAACAAAAATAAACATACGTTTTCCTCCTGCCGTGACGCTTCTGCCAGGAGCATATTATTCACCGGAGGCAAAAAGAAGGGATATGAATAAATTATAGAAATTGTTAATGGAATAAAAATTATAGAAATATTTTCAGTTCTAAAACTTCTAAAATAAGTTCATGCTAACAACAAAATATAATACCAGAGGAGTAGAAATGAGCTAAAACTCTTGTGATATAACTCAATAAATACAGAAACTAATATAATTTCAAATTAATACACAAACTAATAAACCCCAAATGGTAGTAGGTTTCCAAAAGACTCTTTGTTTTTATATTCCTTGTTTTCAAAAGACTCTTGAACTAGTGTTTTAAAACACCATCGTTTTCATAGAAACTATTAAACTAATTTCAACTAGTGTTTTAAAACACCATCGTTTTCACAGAAACTATTAAACTAACACCACTACAGGATAAATAAATTGTATGTACGAGGTGATTGATTGATAAAGCCTATGTTTGATTTAAAACACTAAAAAGCAAAACAAAAAGCTGAAACACTAGGACTAGAGTCATTTAATTCCCAACTGGTCTTATATATAATCGATAGAAAAAGAACAACAAGTGAATACGTTTGACGAAATCAGCAAAATATATAAAAATATAAGAGGGTGTGAGAAGGTTATTTGCGAGAATTCACCTGGGGATGCTGGGAATGGAGGAAGGGCAAAACGTAATAACGTAATTAGTCGAGTTTGTGCATGTGAAAGTGCTGTTATTATCGTTGTAAGGATAGCTATACGCGTATGGACAAGCTCGCTCGAAGCTCTGCGAGTACATCGTCGGCTTGCAGTTTTGCTTCGACTTAAAAAAACCGGTGCAACAATTCTCCGGCGTCGCGGAACCTCGGCACGCGCTACTGCATGAGATTGGTTTAGCCCCGTCGAACACCTTAAGATCATCTGGACAAGTCTTGTTCAAGTCAACTATGCAACCGGAGCTAAAACACGCCTGGCTACTCTCTGACGGGACCACTAGAACCGGAAGGTTGTAACCATACTCAAGACTGATCGTGTGGCTGTTGCTTCCGCCGTAGTCGATTCTAAAGTAGACATAAGTCACGTTAGACCAGCTGTATGAGCCGGGACATTCGATGTTGCTTGATCCGCAGTCTCCTGTGACGCAAGAGAAGTTTCCTTTAGAGTCGTTTGAGCAAAGTGTTCTACCGGAGATAAGACCGAACCATGAAGATGGGGCTTGTGAGGCACGGGCTTCGCCTTTTCCGAGAGTGAAGCCTGTTGTGGAGAGCTGTGATTGCCATGAGTAGATAACTGGCCAAACCGTGTGGTTGCATTTGTTCTCTATGGTAAGGATACTCATCGACAACACTCCTGCTCACAGAAGTTTTAAGATTAGCTAGGGAAGAAAATGAAGAAGATAATCATCAATCGGATAACAAGAAGAAAAAACTTACCGGATACAAACAAATGTGAAGCTAGGAGGAAAATAACTGGCAACCTCTCTGCCATTGGCTTGAAGAAAAAATGAAAAGCGTTCTAGAGACTGAATAATAGCTTAACAATATAAACTTGATTTTGTGGTGTTTTCTCTTGCTTCTTCCTCGTTACTTTTAGTAGGAATTTGTGTCTTGTTGATAATTAAGAGTTGGTAAACAATCAATTAGTCAAGGTATAAATTATTAAATACTAGGAAAGAATGATATAATCTAACTACTACCCTGATTCCAATCGGTTAAGAACTTTCCGGGAACTTGCCACAGTGTATAATCACATTTGTTCTCTATAGTGTAAAATAATCATCGACAAACCCTACTATGAGTTTAAAAAAATGAAAGTAAAGTCAAAAGGAAGAATTATTTGATCAGTGGCAGTCTACTACTAATTGGTTTATGCAGTAAGAAAACCTTAATTTCGTACTATTACAAGATTCATTTAAATATCATAATAAATAAATAAAAAATGCAACTTCTTGATATTACTAGTCATTAGCCAAGGTTGGGATATTTTCTAGAGTGGAAAAGTTTCTACTTGGAATGGCTATGAGCCTAGGATTGCTAAAAACAATTAGCTGATATGAATCTGAGAAATATTAGAGAAAATTCGTTGACTTAACCTGTAAACTAGTTGGTTTATGTACTAAGCCAACGACAATTTTATTTTCGTTTTTTTCATGTAGAGACATATGTAAAGGACATCTAGCTGCGGACCTTGGAGGGTTCCAAGTTCAACAATGTGATTTTCAACGAGTTTTAAAACGAACACAGTACATTGTTTTGGCTTTTGCTTTGTGCTAATTATTCTTTCGGGTTTGTAATAAAAAAAACTACGAGCTTAGATCACTACCGCGCCATAACAAACATGGGCCTTCTGCTTTGTTATTAACTAGTAGAGTACCGCACGTTTGTGCGGTGTGACGTTGTGTTTTGTGTAGAAAATTTAAACCCTAAATCCCAAAAAACCCTAATCAAAAAATTTAAAAACCCAAACTTTTTTAATATGTCTAAACATGAAAATCCGAAATCAAAAAAATCCCGAAAACCCTGAACTGAACAAAAAAAATCTGGAAACTTTTTCACCCGGAACCCGACCCAATACCCTAATCAAAATTTTAAAATACTCAATTTTTTTAATATATCTAAACCCGAAAACCGAAATCTAAAAAATCCGGAAAACCCTAAACTGAAAAAAAAACTTGAACCCAACCCGAACAGAAATTTTCAAAGAAACCCGAACAATTTCTATATCTCTATATCTCTATAAAATTAGGTCTCAGATTTTCACCCAAACCCGAACTTGTCTATAAAAACCCGAAAATCCAAAAAGCATATTCTATTGATTTGGTATTATCGTTAGATTATGTTAAGTTTTCTTTTTTGCAGATTTTTAAGAGATGGAAAACGGAAGTTTTCTAAACCATCGGTTTATTTTAAGTTATTATTCTTGTATCCAAACAATTTTTTCCATTTATTCTTCTATCCAAATAGATTTTTCTCTTATTCTTGTATCCAAACATTACAATGTACTAAATTGACCTTATTAAATCTGTTGCCAAACACTTATTCTTCATAATTAGATTGGTTTTTTTGTCATAAATTTTCTATGTACTTCTCAATTAATAATACTAGGGATTAAGCCCCGCGCAAGCGCGGGATTGTTTGCAATAATTTTTCTGTTTGATTTTATTTATATTCATTGATTTGAAATTTTGAATTATAATGGTTATATGTTAACTTCCATGTTTTGATTATATTTTGAGTTAACCCAACAATTAACACTAACAATATGATCAATTTTTTTATTAAATATTAACACCTTACTTCATCTCGAGTTTTCTATTTCTAAAATTTAATATGCATTTGACTCAACGTTAAAATTTGTAAACATGGAGTAGAATCGCAATTGCACTCAAAATATGATGAAAAACAAAAACATGTATAACTTCTTACATATATGCTTTGTTGTGGTAGCATATGACAATTGATTATTTTCTATTATGTTAGTTTTGTAAATATAAATTATATTTTTGAAACAAACATGTCACCATTCTTAAAAAAATTCATACTTTTCGTTGCAATGAAATTTAAATAATAACTCGACTTCTATTTTTTAATAAAACAAACTCTACTCTAATTTTTTATTAGTTTTTTACTAGTTCTATTTAATATGCATTTGACTCAACGTTAAAATTTGTAAACATGGTGTAGAATCGCAATTGCACTCAAAATATGATGAAAAACAAAAACATGTATAACTTCTTACATATATGCTTTGTTGTGGTAGCATATGACAATTGATTATTTTCTATTATGTTAGTTTTGTAAATATAAATTGTATTTTTGAAACAAACATGTCACCATTCTTAAAATTTTCATACTTTTCGTTGCAATGAAATTTAAATAATAACTCGACTTCTATTTTTTAATAAAACAAACTCTAACTCTAATTTTTTATTAGCTTTTTACTATGTTAAATAATTTATATTGTACTTTTTTACTTGTAAGCACATTATAACATTTTTAAATAGATAAATCTTTGAGTTAAAACCTAACTATATACTATTTCAAGTTAAATATTTATTTATTTCATCTCCATTTTATATTACAACTTTCTTTTAACTTTTAACATCAAGATATCACATACTTTTTTTTTTTAGTCGACAGCCTCTATCTCTAAACCAGCTCGGGAATCCAAGTGGGCGAAACAGAGTTTACATAGTACACATCAGTAGGTAGAGCTCGAGCACTTCGTGCTAACTTGTCTGCCTTCGTGTTTTTCGTCCTAGGTATGTGCGCAATGGAGAAAGAGGTAAAACTCCGTTTACATCGGTCGACCTCGTCAAGAAGTATTGCGAACGCTGGCCACTCCTCTGGCGTAGACACCATCTTCACCACATCAGAGCAATCCGTCTCAAATCGCGTTAGCAACTTATTATGTCTCAGCATACAGTGCATAGCCCAAATAAGTGCCTCCAACTCCGTTTGGAGGGGCGATATCACAAATTAAATTGTTTGTGTATTTTTCTTAGTTTTGTTTATGTGTAAAATAGGAATATATATAAAGAAATATTAATACACAATATATTAAATATCTTAAATACAATTAATGATTTTTTTGCTGATGTGGATAGCCTAGGAAGAGAGAGCAACTCTCCTATTATATACTCCCTCCGTTTCAACTAATTGCAGATACGTCCAAATATTTGCAGATACATTTTGCCAAAACGACAACTAATTTGAAACGGTGGGAGTATAAGATAAAGATTATTCACTGAATGAAAAAATATAGAAAATGACAGCTGTGGGATTTGAACCCATGCCCTTTCGGACCAGAGCCTAAATCTGGCGCCTTAGACCACTCGGCCAAACTGTCATTTGCTTATAATAATGTGATAACTGTCTATCATTAAACTACTTCTTGTCTTCTCTTTCAATGTCATAAAAATCTTTAGATCGACTGGTCTAGATTGGACGCGTAATGTTTGACGTAGTCAAGCCTAGCAAAATAGAAATAAAAGGAACTCAAAGGGATAATTACGGAATTCTTATTGGTGTTTTAGGGCATGAAGGTTATGCAAGTTGTTTCTAGTATAGTAGATTCGTTGGCTTAACATTCTTCTTTAATTATGGCGTATATGGAAGTTCTCTACTGTTACGTATAGAATGTTAAGAAGACCTTAATAATGTCAATCATCTTTTCCTAAAGATCTTTATATATTTGAAACATACATTTCATATATTTGCTTAAATTTAGTTTGGTATGATTTCAGAAAATATATGTATAGCAAAGATTCCGTAACATGAAATGATCCAAAGAAATTATGTTTAATTTAGGTTTACACTTACGCAGGGATGCTCCAACGGTAAATATCAACAAAATCAACTAGATACTCTACTGCCTGCTGGCATGGCTTTGGTATAGAAGGATTTTGAACAATCTTGACTAACAATATCACGACAAGCTAAAAGAATTCAAAATGTATATAACTGACTTGGTGTAAGGCTAGAAGTCTCTTGACTCTCTTCAACAGATTCCCAAGCCATTACCGCGGGAGTCAAAAGAGGCTTAGGTGGAACCTGGAGAGCTTCTAGGCTTCCTTCTAACATTTCAATGACTTTTCACATTGGTGGACGATCACATGGATTGGTCTGAATACACCACAAACCCACTAATGTCATTTTCTTCACTGTATTCTCTTCTTCATCGATCATATGATCTCCTAATTGTCTCATGGTTTCTTTCTTCTCGAGATCCTCATAAATCCAATCTGGAAAGTACATTGTACTTATATTGGACCTAGAAGTTTCCCCTCTCTCTTTGCTCGTTGCCCCGATCAGCTCAAGCACCACCATTCCATAACTATACACATCTGACTTATGTGAAACTCCTCCATAGCTCTTGGAAAACACTTCAGGAGCTATATACCCTGCGGTCCCTCTCGCGTATAACATTGATATGATGCTGTCGTTTTTCTTGCAAAGCTTAGCAAGACCGAAATCCGAAATCTTGGGGCAAAAGTCTTCATCCAGGAGTATATTTTGTGGCTTTATATCGAAGTGCACAATCTTTGATACACAGCTATTGTGCAAATACTCTAACCCACGAGCCACACCTACCGCAATGTTGTATAAAATGTTCCTGTCCATCTTCTTCGTTGGTACATCCTCGGAGATAAACTTGTCAAGGGATCCATTGGGCATGAACTCATAAATGATAGCTCTCTTGCTCCCTTCGTAGCAAAAACCAAACAAAGGAACGATATTAACATGAGATGCTATACTCATGCTAGCTAATTCATTGATGAAGTCTTCTCCATTCCCCTTTGAATCATCCAAGATCTTTAGTGCAATATCTTGGCCACTTGCATCGGGTAACTTTCCTTTGTAGACAGTTCCAAATCCACCTTTCCCGAGAACATGATCGAATGAGTTTGTCATCTTCTTCACTTTTTTATAACTATATCGTTTCAACATTACAACCGCTTCAATGTTCTTGTCGTTCGAATCTCTATTTCTTTGCATATTATTTACTCTCACCATAACCGCAAGAATAGTGATCAACGCAGCTAAAGCGGATAAGCCTCCTGAAAGAAAAAGAAAAAAACAAGCAAAACTTAGGTGTTACGTGCATGAATGAGCAACAGAGATGTGGTCGCAATGAAGGTGGTACCAAGTATGGGTTTTAAATTCCGTAGAGAATCATCTGCAAATGTATCAAATACAAATTATAAACGACAATAAACATTTACATCAATTATAACAGGATGAAGGACACCAAAATAAACTTACATTTACGTCCTTCTACTGGAACCATTGAGCTCCTGTTGTTGTTTCCCCCAAGAAAATCACATTATTACTCATTAGTTTATCACATTAGGTATATTTATATTCATTTGTTTGTGTGTGTAGTAAGATGAATGTTACTCCCTCAATCACTCCGTAAGATAGACTAATATCTCAAGCCCGCAGAAATCCGGATAATCTTGGTTTTTTTTCGTGATAAAACATATAAACAGTCAAAACAATATATATTCATCCATTTTTTTTTGAATAAGTGGTGTTTTAAGTGTTTTATTAAAAACAATTTGGCCGCAGAATATTTTTTTTTGCACATAGATTAAAACATAATTTAACTTTTTAATTTTTTTCAAAACATGTGTTATTATCAATCCGAAAACAACTCAACCAGTAAAATTTCAATATGTAAAATTCATACAGTCAAAATAACAATTGAGGTACAGTATGTAAACACCATTTATTTGTGAATAAAAAAAATCTTGTAAAACTCTATTTATTAGAGAACGAAGGGAGTATTAAATTTTCGTCAACAATGTCAACTCGCAACTACCATGGTAGTTGGGTATTTTTATTAACCCTTTGCTCAAAAAAAAAAAATTATCGTGTGATCTTTGACGAAATCAACTCCCAGCAAAAAAAGAATAAAATAATGGTATTTACAGGGAACTAACCTGGTGGTCTTTGGAACGGAGGAAGGACAAAACGTGATGATGAAGTCAGTTGAGTTAGGGCAAACGAAGGTGCTGTTATTATCACTGTAAGGGTAGCTATAGGCGAGTGGACAAGCGCGCTCGAAGTTCCGCAAATACAGTGTCGGCTTGCATTTTTGCTTTGACTTGAAGTCACGTGTGCAACAAGTCTCCGGTGTATCGAACTCTTGACATGCGCTGATGCAGGACATTTGTTTTGCCCCTGCGAATATCTTAAGATCATCTGGACAAGTCTGGTTTACGTCAACCATACAACCATAGCTCCTACATGTCTGGCTACTCTGTGATGGGACCACACTTAGGGGAAGGTTGTAACCGAACTCAAGACTGATGTAGTAGCTGTTGATTCCGTCGTCATCGATTTTAAAGTAGATGTATGTCACCGGCGACCAATGGTAGTCTCCGGGACACTCGATCTTGCCGGATCCGCAGTCTCCAGTGATGCACGTGAAGTTTCCTGCTGTGTCGTTTGAGCAGAGCGTTCTACCGGAGATAAGACCGTTCCATGAAGACGCGTGTATGTCACGCGCCTCCCCCCTTCTTAGAACGAAGCCGGTGGTGGAGAGCTGTGAGGCAGATTGCCATGAGTAGATAACTGGCCAGACTGTGTGGTTGCATTTGTTCTCTATGGTAAGGATACTCGTTGATAACACTCCTGCTAACAAAAGTTTTAAGATTAGAGAAGAAAAGTATAAAACAATAGTGGACAAATATTGAATTTAAACAAAAAAATGTTCATCAATAGAGGAAAAGATAGTATAAATAGTACCCGATATGAAGAAATGTGTAGCAATGAGGAACATCAATGGAAACCTCTCTGCCATTACCTTAAAGTAATTATAATAAAAATAGTTCCAGAGAAGTGAATTGTAACAATAGACTCTGGATTTTTTTTTATATGTTTTCTTTGGTTTTGAACAATGGCTTTATGTTTTCTCTTGTTTCTTCCTCATTTTAGTAGAAATTGGTATCTTTAGTGATAGAAGATTCAAAATAAAAAGAAGGAATTGTCTTTTAACAAAAATAAAAAGAAGAATTGTTAACTAGTACGGATAGGAAGAAATAAATAGATAGAGAGGAAAGAAAGTCATTAGTCGGTACTACAAAATATTTCTAGCAACTTGCGAGAAAAGTAGTATTACATAAACTCGTGTTGTCTAACTTTGTGTTCATTTATCATTGGACCATATTGAGATATGTAGAGGTTAATGGGCCATAAGGCCTTACTCTCTAAGAGAGTGTGCAAGCTAAGTCCCACATTGGAAGTGGGAAGGGACCTTAAGCGATATATAAGGGACTGAGGCCACTCCACCTATTGCCAATTGGTTTTAGGTTGGATGCCAAGGAAACTTAACATGGTATCAGAGCTTGACCCGCACACTCTCTCGACCCGGCCCAGAAAGAGCCCGACCCCCCGACCCTAGGATTTGATGGTCTGCGTGATTAATGGTTAAAATGACCATTATCTCGAGGGAGGGTATTGAGATATGTAGAGGTTAATGGGCCATAAGGCCTTACTCTCTAAGAGAGTGTGCAAGCTAAGTCCCACATTGGAAGTGGGAAGGGACCTTAAGCGATATATAAGGGACTGAGGCCACTCCACCTATTGCCAATTGGTTTTAGGTTGGATGCCAAGGAAACTTAACATGGTAGCAAAGCTTGACCCGCACACTCTCTCGACCCAGCCCAGAAAGGGACCGACCCCCCGACCCTAGGATTTGATGGTCTGCGCGATTAATGGTTAAAAGGACCATTATCTCGAAAGAGGGTATTGAGATATGTAGAGGTTAATGGGCCATAAGGCCTTACTCTCTAAGAGAGTGTGCAAGCTAAGTCTCACATTGGAAGTGGGAAGGGACCTTAAGCGATATATAAGGGACTGAGACCACTCCACCTATTGCCAATTGGTTTTAGGTTGGATGCCAAAGAAACTTAACAGACCAAACTCTAAAGTCATCAAAGATGGACCAAAGATGTAAGTAGGTAGGTACAAATTTGTCTATCTATAATTAAAATAAAAAATAAAAAATAAAACAGATTCACTCGACGAAATTGGAGGCATGTGATGTGAATATGATGTTTGACGTAAACGAAATCAACCCCCATCAATATATTATAAATATATATATATATATAGATGTGTAAAGAAAGTGTTTATTTTAAAGTTATTAAACTCTGAAAAACAAGAAAGAAAAAAATCGACAGTGCTTGGAATGGCTAGGGGTGCTAAAAACAATCAGCTGATATGAACTTGAGAAATATTAGACAAAATTCGTTGACTTGTAAACTAGGTGGTTTATGTACTAAAAGCCAGCGAAATTTTTATTTTCGGTTTTTTCATGGAGAGATGTATGTAAAGGACATATGCGGATCTTGGAGGTTACAAGCTCAACAATGTGATTTTCAACGAGCTTAACTAACACAGTACATTGTTTTGGCTTTTGCTTTGTGCTAATTATTCAATCGGGTTTGTAATAAAAAAAAAGAGCTTAGATTACTACCGCGCCATAACAAACATGGGTTCTTCACTTCTTTTGCTTTGTTTTTATTTATTCTCTGAATGAAAAAGAAATGTAAAAATGACAGCTGTGGGATTTGAACCCACGCCGTTTCGGACCAGAGCCTAAATCTGGCGCCTTAGACCACTCGGCCAAACTGTCATGTGCTTGTGTTCTATTTCAATGTTTTAAAGCCTCACTTAACAAACAAAAAGAAAACCTTAAACCGCCTCTTTGGAAACCAAAACCAATGCTTCATCAAGAAACCAACAAGAAGATCCAAAATGTTTGACAACTTTCTTGTTCGTCTTTCACAATATCTTAAAATCTTAAACAAGTAGAGTATCTTGGCCTGTGGAAAGAGTTTTTCTCTCTAACAAGCTTTGCGTCGAGTGACTAGACGTCTCTTGGCTCTCTTCAACAGATTCCCAAGCCGTTACCGCATGTAAATTCAACAGAGGCTTAGGTGGAATCTGTAGAGCTTCTAGGCTTCCTTCTAGCATTTCAACGACTTTTCTCATTGGTGGACGATCAAAAGGACTAGTCTGAATACACCACAAACCCACCAATGTCATTTTCTTCACTATCTTCTCTTCTTCTTCAATTATATGATCATCTCCTAATAGTCTCATGGTTTCTTTCCTCTCCAGATCCTCGTATATCCAATCTGGAAAGTACATACTTATATTGGACCTAGAAGTTTCAGCTCTCTCGGTGTTCGTTGCCCCTATCATCTCAAGCACCACCATTCCATAACTATACACATCCGACTTATGCGAAACTCCTCCATAGCTCTTGGAGTACACTTCAGGTGCAATGTACCCTACGGTCCCTCTCGCGTCTAACAACGATATGACACTCTCTTTGTTTTTGCAGAGCTTAGAGAGACCGAAATCCGAAATCTTCGGTCTCAAATCTCCGTCTATGAGTATATTCTGAGGCTTTATATCGAAATGCACAATCTTTGATACACAACTGTTGTGCAAGTACTCTAAGCCACGAGCAACACCTACCGCAATGTTGTATAAAGTCTTCCAGTCCATCTTCGTTGACATGTTCTCGGAGATAAACTTGTCAAGCGATCCATTCGGCATGAACTCATAGATTATAGCTCTCTTGCTTCCTTCGTAGCAGAATCCAAACAGAGAAACGATATTAACATGAGATGCTCTACTCATGCTGGCTAGTTCGTTGATGAAATCTTCTCCATTGCCATTTGACTCGTCCAAGATCTTTAGTGCAATATCTCGGCCAGTGGCATCGGGTAACTTTCCTTTGTAGACAGTCCCAAATCCTCCTTTCCCGAGAACATGAGCAAATGAGTTGGTCATCTTCTTCACTTTTTCATAACTATATCTTCTCAACATTACAGCCGCTTCAATGTTCTCGTCGTTCGAATCACTATTTCTTTTCGCATTCTTTGCTCTCACCATTAATACCGCTATCGCAACGATAATGATCAACACAGCTAAAGCGGCTGACCCACCTGCAAGCAAAATGAATGAGCAACAGATGTGGTCGCAAACTCGCTATGAAGGTGGTACGTACCGAGTATGGGTATTAACTTCCGTAGAGAATTACCTGCAAATGTATTTAATAAAAATTATGATCATTTTAACAAAGAAAAACATTTGTATATATTTTACAGGATGAAGAAAACAAAATAAACTTACGGTTTCCTCCTGCTAATGGAGCCATCGAGCTTCTGTTGTCTTCAAGCGAGAAACATAATTAGATATACAATTATCACTAATAATTTATTTGTAAACACATAAAGCATGTAAAATAAAATTATTTTTTTGTTAAAACAATTCCCTTGGTATATTTGAAAAATTATATTTCTGAAAGCAATTCAAATTATTACTTTTGTGCGTCGACAATGCATTATTAACGGATAATGACAAAATTATATCTTAAAAAAAAACAAACAAAAAAAGTAACGCTATTTTTCAGGTTACAGATTTAGTTTGTATGGTTTAATTTTTCTAATTTGGGATTCAGATTTAGAGGATGTATTGACCTGGGTATTTTAGATGATTTTGAGTTATTTGTTTGAAAATGACAAATCTTATGTTATTTAAATATGAATTTTAAAAAATGGACTTGTAGTTTTCGAAATACACTTTAAATCTAGTGTTATTGAAAATATTTTAAATGGTAGAATATTGTAGGTTTATTTCTTCCGTTTCTCTAGTTTGGTAGCTTTAATGTTCCTCCCAAGAAATGTGAATCATGTCACACATGTTTCTCTTTTTATAATCATATGGAGAATATAATGCATGTTTGGTTAAGTATAAGTATGTTTAGTTTATTATATACAACTAGTTCAAGGCACATAACAAGGATTTAGATCCTCCTTACTTCTTTGTTTCGCTAGGTTGGTAAATTTAATGTTCCTGTGAAAGAATGATTCTGATTTTAAAGTGTTTTAGTGGAGTTTCTTAGTTAATATATACTCTCTCTGTTTTATAATAAATGTCGTTTTGACAAAATGAATCTGGACTATTTATTAACGTATATGGATGTGTATATGGATGGGTAAGTCAAGAGTCAAAAAGACACGTATTATGAAACAGAGGGAGTATAAAAAACCAAATATCATGGTTTTATATGGAATTCTAAAATGATTTCACTAAAATCATAATAATTTCTCTAATCACCCAAAATCATCTAAAAATAAAATCACCTCAAATCACTTTAAATCACAACATAAGTCACTATCTTTTGATCAATTATGCTTCATAAAATTTAATTTATAAAACCATTAGGGTTTTTTTTTTTTTGGTCGAGACCCTATGCTCATAAAACGGTTTAGATAACCAAACCGGGAGAACAGTGTTAATATAGTACACACCATTAAGAAGATCTCGTGCACAACGTACTAGCTTATCTGCCTTCGTACTCTTTGTCCTTGGGATGTGGTGTATGGAGAAGAGGATGAAACGACGTTTGGATATGTCTATTTCTTCAAGTAGAATCGAGTATGCTGGCCACTCCGCATGGTTAGATACCATCTTAACCACGACCGAACATTCAGTCTCAAAAACCACCACTTGTTTGTTATGCTGAATCATGCATTGCATAGCCCATACTAATGCCTCTGCCTCCATTTGGAGAGGTTTGAGTCCCCGTCGTGAGTAACTCGACCCTAAGAGTTTTTCTCCCGCTTCTCGATTATGGTACAACCACCGTAAACCCGCACGTCGCTCTATGGCCTTCCATGCCCCATCAATATGGCAATATTCTACATACATGCATGGTGCTGTGATATGACCATATATTAACACATTTAAGTATGCATTTACATACATATTCACATTGTCTAAGTCTCATTTGCATACATTTGGGTCTTCATATCTCTCTTTATGCACTCGCATCCTATTTGAACCTGCATTGCATATACATAGAATTTTAGAGTCTAAATCAGGTACTTTTGGGAGCTTTGGAGCTAATTGGGAATATGGAGTGTTGAAGATGTCAAAGGAGTTCTCGACCAAGATGTCAATCGGGTTAGGAAAACCCGATTCTCGCCTTCTAAGCTTTCCTTGACCAAGAGAAGAGTTGATCTCAATCAAAGTGGACCAAGCATGAGCAAAACGCCGAGTTTTGGAGCCTAAAATCTTGGGGAGAAAAGAGGAAAGGTTTTAGAGTCTCCACTATATAATCTTTTAAGTCATAAAATTTTAGGCAGCTTGTAATTTGACTTTCATTTTGCCACCAAAAAATACTCTAGTTTTGAGATCTTAAACTTCGTATGATTTCATCTCTTTCATTAATCAAATTTTATTCTTGTTTAAATCTATCTTTTAATCTTTGCTTTCTTGTTTAACAACATTTTCTGTATGGAAATCAGTTTGTTAAACATGTCTAGTGAGTAGTCACTTAGATTTTTTTACGGGGTGTGAATTAGAGAGCTTCAAAGGAGAGTCTTGAAGCTCAAAGTTAGGACCTTTAGAGATTCTCCTTACTTAATACTCTTAAAGTTGAGTCTTTTCTGATCATCTTGCCTAAGATCTCAAGGACTCGACACAGCAAAAGTGTGTTGGAGGACTCGAACATCTAAGTCAAGGGATTAGCTTTCCTAGCTCGCGATTAGGAAGCTATTTGGTAAAGAGGATCCAAGCTTCAAGCTTGTGTGCATCTCGGCTCACTAGCGATAGCTAGTTCTTTGGTTGAGACCTCGCATTTAAGCTCCATTCACGAAAGTGACAAGCTTTTTGTAACATCTGCGGACCAGAAATCTAGAAAATGGCCGAAGGAACTGGTCCGGGAAGATAGTTTTGGCCGAGGAAAATGGAAGAATCCGAATGTACTGAGAAATTTGAGCTGGAACGACTAAGTGTCGAAGGAACTGAGCTGGATCAGTCAGCTGGCCGAGGTAGTGAGCTGAGTGGCCGAGCTAGCTGAACTTGTCCGAACGGATTGGTGAAAATTCGGACAAGTCTTGTCTTGTTCGGACAGGACGGTTATTCCTGTCGGGACGGAAATGAATTTGGCCGAGAGAATATTATTCCATCCGGGAATAATACGGCTAAGTGTCTGAGCGCGGGAACGGTTATGGGTTTGGCCGGGACGCGCAGAAGGGAAATGCGCGGGAACGGTTATTTCCCTTGTTCGCGAGCGCGGATAATGAAATAGGCGGGAACGGTTATGGCCGAGAGCCAAAACGCGTGCGTTTCATTAATCCGACGGTTATGGACGGGATCACGGGTTAAAAGACTCGGGGAGAAGGGATTTCTCATTCATTCAGACTCAGAAATATTTCTAAGTGTCCAGAGAGAAACGGTTATCGAGAGAGAAAGCGGTTTCCGAGAGTTTTCGTCTGTTCCGATCGATATCGACCGTATCGATCGTCTGTTCCGACCGAGAGCGCCTGTTTCCGATCGGTGGTCTGACCGAGAGCCGACCGTACCGAAGATCCGAGAGCCGAACGTTCGACGATCCGTCCGAGAGCGTCCGAGCGACCGTTCTGTAACCGTACGAACCTCCGTACGCGACTGTTCTGTTTACCGAAGGGAATCCGATTCCCGACTGACTGACTAAGGTGAGTGCGTGACCGTGTAGTCATAGTGTATGGTCGTTCTCACGGCATAGATAGATTCAATGGTTGATGATTGCTTGTTAATGTGTCTGATTGCTTGTCGTACTGATTCTGATGGCTTGGTCGGAATGGTCGGTCTATTGGCGAGGGTTACTCGGCCGGGTTAGATAGCCGACCGTTCGCGATAAGCGACTGTGGTTAACGGCATGACTGATTATTGAACTGTGTGTTCTGATTGCGATTCTCTGTACTGTGGCTTAGTGGGCGGGATGACCGCATTCACTAAGCAAACTTGTTTGCTTATGCCTCATTTTAATGTGGCAGGAACTGATCCGACCATAGGTGATGGCCGGACTGACTGATCTGGACGCGAGACAAGGCCGGGAAGGAAGGGATGGATAGGTCTGGGTAGACGGACTAGTTTAATGATGTAATAGCCTATAGCGAACTCACATTGTTGCTAGAACCGAATTTGTATTTCAAGTTTCTGCATTGTTCGTTTAAACAAGATGATTTAATCTAAGTACTTCAAGTTTCTGTATATTCGTTTGTGCATAAATGACTAAGTGTGGGAACCTCATGCAACTGGAAATGCTAAGTAAAAACCGGACCTAAAATTTGACTAAGTTAAATTTATCAGGAAAACCGGACTAGGGTGCTTCAAGTTGGTATCAGAGCATGGTCGGTTCTAGGATAGTCTTTATGCATAGACGGGTAGTGGGTTTACATCCATCCTTCCAAGGCAGTCTCGCGGATTATTGTATGTACTGTTTGCCTGGGAACTAAGTTAGTCGTGCGGCTAACTTATAAATCTGAACTTGCAGATGGCTAAGAGTAAGAGTACTAGAAGGAATGTGCAAGAGACTGGGGAAAACTCAGGCGTGAATGATCCGAATGGTCGGAATCCTGAGGTGGATGCACCGAACGCTACTGAAGCGGCCACTGAGGCGGCTGCTGCTGCCGCCGCTGCTGCCGCGGCTCCTCCCGTTGGGATGGAAGCCCTGTTGGGACTGCTCGCCCAAGTGTTGGAGCGTCTGCCCGTTCCTCCCGCTCCCGCAGCGGAACCGGAAGTGGTTGAGGAACCGGTGGAAGTGAATGTGAATGTGGGTGTGGAAGAGGATCCGGGAGAAAGGGTTCCATCGTATCTGCGGATGATGGAGCAGATGCAGAAGCTGGGAACCCGGTTCTTCTCCGGAGGTGGATCCAAGCCGGTTGAGGCGGACCAGTGGATCACTCGATTGGAGCGGAACTTTAGTTCCATCCGTTGTCCCGGACAGTACAAGAGGGACATTGCGATCCACTACCTGGAAGGGGATGCGCATACTTGGTGGGGAGGTGTAGTTGCTCGGAACGGAGGTGTTCAGAACTGCACTTGGATGATCTTCCGTGAGGAGTTCACGAAGAAGTTCTTCCCACCAGAGGCGTTTGATAGGATGGAGATGGCGTTTCTGGAACTGCGCCAAGGCAGTAAGACCGTCCGGGAGTATGAGGCGGAGTTTAACTCTCTGAAGAAGTTCGCTGGGCGCGAACTGGACAGAGAGAGCGCGCAAGTCCGTAGGTTCATGCGCGGCCTTAGGGCGGATATTCAGAACCGTTGCCAGATCCGTAGCTTTGATACTGTTGCCGAGTTAGTCGAGAAGGCGGCTCAGCAGGAGACTGGAATGATCGAGGAGATGAAACTGATGGGAAAGGAACTCCATGTTCAGTCTAAGAACATAGTCGGGAAGAACCCGAACGCTTCCGGCAAGTCGACTGCGGGACGCAGTGCATGTCCGGAATGCGGAAAGAATCATGCTGGCCCGTGTAGGAAGGCTTCTGGTGCATGTCTTCGCTGTGGAAGTCAGGACCACAAGGTTCGTGACTGTCCAGAGGAAGATAAGAGGCCGAAGGATCAGGCTAAGGAAGGCCGAGTAGTGGTCTGTTACGGATGTAACGAGACGGGACACTACAAGGACAAGTGCCCACACAGACAGACAACTGGGAAGCGAGCAAGTGAGGGACCGGACTCGGGTGCAAAGAGGCAGGCGGTCACTCCTCGTCTGTACTCGATTGGAGATGCGGCCACGGACCCAAGCTCATCTCGTCCGATCACTGGTTAGTCCCATCACTTAGTTGTTTAAGTGTCTGTGTGAATAGCTAGGAGTAGCTAGTTGCTTGTTCTGTGGAAAGATAGGTTCTTAGCATTCGGATGAATGTGTAGGGACCTTAATCATGGGTGGCGTGGCGGCCCATGTTCTGTTTGATTCGGGTGCATCGCATTGCTTTGTACACCCGAGTCTGGTCGGCACTGGCGAGTTCCGCAAGGAACCCGGTGAAGACCATGGGATGGTTCAAGCGGCTGGTGGCCAAGTTATGTTTACCTTGGGGAAGATCAGGAACGTGTCGGTTATGATCGGAGAGGTAAACATGCCAGCTGACTTGGTGATTTGCGAGGTGAAGTCTTATGATGTGATCCTTGGAATGGATTGGCTTGGGAAGCACAAGGCACATCTAGACTGTCATCGGGGAAGAGTGTGGTTTGAAACCGAGAAGGGTAAACTGAAGTATCAGGGAGTTAGACCGACAGCGGGAAGCTTGATCATCTCGGCGGTCCAAGCGGATCGGATGATCGAGAAGGGCTGTGAAGCGTACTTGGCCGCGATCACTACTACGGAAGTCGGGAAAGACGCTAGCCTTAGCGAGATTCCAGTAGTTAGTGAATTCGAGGATGTGTTCCAGGCATTGTCTGGACTGCCTCCGGATCGATCGGATCCGTTCACGATCGAACTGGAACCTGGAACCGCCCCGGTGTCTAAGGCATCTTACCGGATGGCGCCGGCTGAGATGGCCGAACTGAAGAAGCAGCTGAACGACCTAATGGAAAAGGGTTTTGTTCGGCCAAGTAGTTCGCCATGGGGTGCACCTGTTCTGTTCGTGAAGAAGAAAGACGGAAGTTTTAGACTCTGTATAGATTACCGCGGTTTGAACCGGGTAACAGTGAAGAACAAGTACCCTCTCCCGAGGATAGACGAGTTGTTGGACCAACTCCGAGGTGCTACTTGGTTCTCAAAGATCGATTTAGCCTCGGGCTATCATCAGATTCCGATAGCAGAGTCGGATGTGAGGAAGACCGCCTTTAGGACGAGGTACGGTCACTATGAGTTCGTGGTCATGCCGTTCGGGCTGACCAATGCACCGGCTGCATTTATGAAACTCATGAACAATGTGTTCCGAGATTGCTTGGATGAGTTCGTTATCATCTTCATTGATGATATACTGATTTACTCTAAGAGTCCGGAGGAACATACGGTCCATTTGAGTACGGTGATGAAGCGGTTGCGGGAGCATCACCTGTTCGCCAAGCTCAGTAAGTGTAGCTTCTGGCAAAGGGAAATTGGATTCCTAGGCCATGTGGTCTCGGACAAGGGAGTGTCCGTGGATCCGGAGAAGATCAAGTCGATCGCAGAATGGCCAAGACCAAGGAATGCGTCGGAGATAAGGAGCTTCTTAGGTCTGGCCGGATATTACAGACGGTTCGTGAAGGGATTTGCGAGTATGGCGTCGCCCATGACTCGACTCACCGGAAAGGATGTTCGGTTTGAGTGGTCGGCCGAGTGTGAGAAGTGTTTTGGGAAGCTTAAGGACATGCTTACCAGCACTCCGGTCTTGACCTTACCGAGGCCGGATGAGCCGTATACGGTGTACACAGACGCATCTAAGACAGGACTTGGGTGTGTACTGATGCAACACGGAAGTGTTATTGCCTATGGGTCTAGGCAGTTGCGGAAACACGAGTGTAACTATCCTACACACGATCTGGAGATGGCCGCGGTAGTGTTCGCGCTGAAGATTTGGAAACCTTACTTGTATGGTGCCAAGGTTCAAGTCTTCACGGATCACAAGAGTTTGAAGTACATCTTCACTCAGCCAGGTCTGAACATGAGACAGCAAAGATGGATGGAGTCCATTGCTGATTTCGATGTGGATATAGCTTACCATCCGGGTAAAGCTAACTTGGTCGCGGATGCCTTAAGCCGGAAGAGAGTGGCTAAGGATTCGGACAAGGATATGTCTGGTCTGGTCGAGATGATCGGGACATTAAGACTGGCCGCCTTGACTGACGAATTGGAACCGTTAGGTCTTGGTGCGGCGGACTAGGCGGACTTACTGACTAGAGTCAGATTGGCTCAGCAGTTGGACGAAGAGTTGGTTAAAGCGTCCAAGAATGAGCAGACTGAGTATCAGGTTTCTAAGAATGGAACGATCGTGGTGCACGGTCAAGTGTGTGTTCCAAAGGATCAGGAACTGCGGGAAGAGATCTTTAAGGAAGCTCACCATTCAAAGTTTTCCATTCATCCGGGATCGACCAAGATGTATCAGGACTTGAAAAGATACTATCATTGGGTCGGGATGAAGCGGAATGTGGCTAAGTGGATAGCCGGATGCCAAACATGTCAAATGGTCAAGGCAGAACATCAAGTTCCGGGTGGATTGTCACAAAGTCTACCTATCCCATAATGGAAATGGGATATGATCACGATGGACTTCGTGACCGGACTGCCCGCAGGCGGAAAGTTGGATGCGATATGGGTAATAGTCGATAGACTGACTAAGTCTGCGCATGTCCTGGCTATCAGTAAGAATGAAAAGGCGGACTCATTGGCTAAGATCTATGTGGAAGAGATCGTTAAGCTACATAGTGTGCCGGCCAGTATAGTCTCGGATAGAGATGCACGGTTTAGTTCTTCTTTCTGGAGAGCGTTTCAGAAACGTCTCGGTACTAAGGTACACATGAGTACGGCCTATCATTCTCAGACGGATGGCCAGTCGGAACGGACTATCAGAACACTCGAGGACTTGTTGAGAGCGTGTGTTCTGGACTGGGGCGGCAAGAGGAAGGATTACTTGCCTTTGGCCGAGTTCTCATACAACAACAGTTTTCAGGCAAGCATTGGGATGTCACCATATGAGGCACTGTATGGTCGACCTTGCCGAACACCGTTGTGTTGGACTCAAGTGGGGGAGCGGAGTCTCTATGGTCGGGACTTCGTGGAAGAAACCACTGAACGGATTAGAGTCCTGAAGCTGAAGATGAAAGAAGCTCAGGATCGGCAAAAGAGTTATGCGGATAAGCACCGCAGAGAGTTAGAGTTTCAGCCCGGAGACATGGTCTTCGTCAAGCTGATAACCTTTAAGGGAAAGGATAAGGCTGCGGCGACTGGGAAGCTAAAGCCGAGGTACATGGGACCGTACAAAGTCCTGGAAAGGATTGGAGCTGTAGCGTACAAGTTGGAATTGCCACCAGCCTTGGTCGCATTCCATACGGTCTTTCATGTATCTTTACTGAGGAGACGCGTGACAAACGGGGAGAACGTTGTGTCCGAACCTCCGCTCGACTTACAGGAGAATCTGACGGTCGAAGGCAGAAATCTAGAAAATGGCCGAAGGAACTGGTCCGGGAAGATAGTTTTGGCCGAGGAAAATGGAAGAATCCGAATGTACTGAGAAATTTGAGCTGGAACGACTAAGTGTCGAAGGAACTGAGCTGGATCAGTCAGCTGGCCGAGGTAGTGAGCTGAGTGGCCGAGCTAGCTGAACTTGTCCGAACGGATTGGTGAAAATTCGGACAAGTCTTGTCTTGTTCGGACAAGGACGGTTATTCCTGTCGGGACGGAAATGAATTTGGCCGAGAGAATATTATTCCATCCGGGAATAATACGGCTAAGTGTCTGAGCGCGGGAACGGTTATGGGTTTGGCCGGGACGCGCAGAAGGGAAATGCGCGGGAACAGTTATTTCCCTTGTTCGCGAGCGCGGATAATGAAATAGGCGGGAACGGTTATGGCCGAGAGCCAAAACGAGCGCGTTTCATTAATCCGACGGTTATGGACGGGATCACGGGTTAAAAGACTCGGGGAGAAGGGATTTCTCATTCATTCGCTCAGAAATATTTCTAAGTGTCCAGAGAGAAACGGTTATCGAGAGAGAAAGCGGTTTCCGAGAGTTTTCGTCTGTTCCGATCGATATCGACCGTATCGATCGTCTGTTCCGACCGAGAGCGCCTGTTTCCGATCGGTGGTCTGACCGAGAGCCGACCGTACCGAAGATCCGAGAGCCGAACGTTCGACGATCCGTCGAGAGCGTCCGAGCGACCGTTCTGTAACCGTACGAACCTCCGTACGCGACTGTTCTGTTTACCGAAGGGAATCCGATTCCCGACTGACTGACTAAGGTGAGTGCGTGACCGTGTAGTCATAGTGTATGGTCGTTCTCACGGCATAGATAGATTCAATGGTTGATGATTGCTTGTTAATGTGTCTGATTGCTTGTCGTACTGATTCTGATGGCTTGGTCGGAATGGTCGGTCTATTGGCGAGGGTTACTCGGCCGGGTTAGATAGCCGACCGTTCGCGATAAGCGACTGTGGTTAACGGCATGACTGATTATTGAACTGTGTGTTCTGATTGCGATTCTCTGTACTGTGGCTTAGTGGGCGGGATGACCGCATTCACTAAGCAAACTTGTTTGCTTATGCCTCATTTTAATGTGGCAGGAACTGATCCGACCATAGGTGATGGCCGGACTGACTGATCTGGACGCGAGACAAGGCCGGGAAGGAAGGGATGGATAGGTCTGGGTAGACGGACTAGTTTAATGATGTAATAGCCTATAGCGAACTCACATTGTTGCTAGAACCGAATTTGTATTTCAAGTTTCTGCATTGTTCGTTTAAACAAGATGATTTAATCTAAGTACTTCAAGTTTCTGTATATTCGTTTGTGCATAAATGACTAAGTGTGGGAACCTCATGCAACTGGAAATGCTAAGTAAAACCGGACCTAAAATTTGACTAAGTTAAATTTATCAGGAAAACCGGACTAGGGTGCTTCACTTTTCCTCTGTTTTCCTCGGCCTAGAAGCTTGGTTCTAACCTTTAAGCTCTAAGCTTCTTCCTTTAGCTCGACAATCGATCGCATTCACCTAAAGGAGTCGCCTTTCTTCATTTCCTTAGTCAAGTTTTAATCTTTTAGCTTAAAGTCAAAATCGTTGTCTTTGGATTTAGATTTGGACCGTTAGTTACTGTTCTAGTTCGTTTATTTTACTGTTGAAGTTTCGGATTTCATAAAAACCAAATCTTTGCTCTTGACTTGAAGCTTTTCTTGTATTCTTTTAAGACCCAATCTCTCTATGATTTGGATTGACACCTTTGCTACTCTGCATTGATATGAGCAGGAATCTGAGGGTTTGAATCTACCAAAAATCTTGTTTTCATGCTGCCAAGGGAGGTCCGGTTGGACCCCTATTATCTCTTGTGAATCTTATGCTGAGACCCATGCAGTACGTAGCTTCTGCTTCCGCAAGGGTTACAAGCTCGCGAGGGTTCCTGTCTAGATTGTAAAACAATTTGTCATTCCGGAATTTTCAAATATACCATATTATCCATGGATAAACCGACATTTGGTCTACTTTCGGTAAATGCCAAAATAAATGATCCATATTGGTAAAATTCTGCCTATGGGAAACTGAGATGCTGGTGTAGGTATTCTTGATAACGCCCATGTTTGAAGTGCTGGGGGCATTCAAAAACTGCATAATTTATTGTTTTCTCAAGCATTCTACATCTGTTACAAGTTGGGTCAATTTGGATACCACGGCTTCGTAGTCGTGATCCAACTGAAACACATCCTGTCAGAACCTGCCATAAAAACTGTTGTATCTTCGGAGGGCATTTGATTTTCCATGTAAATGCCTGCAATTTCCGAATATATGATCCAATCTGCTCTATGTCAACCTCATCCGGGTATTGTTGACTTGTTGTGCAGTATGATATCCCAACTTGACTGTATATCTGCCTGTTTTGGTAAAAAGCCAACCGAAAGAATTCGGCCTAAGACCATTGGGTGTTGGGATGCCATTAATAATGGCTACCTCTGTGCAGTCGAATAGTTGTTCCAATAATGGTACATTCCACGTTGAAGTCTGAGGGTCAATTAGTTCACTCATCCGAAGGTCGGGGTAATAATTAATTCCTCTGCAGTGAGCTTGGGCCAGACTCTGATATCCACGGATCATCCTATACTGAAATGGAAGAATCTGAACCAACTCTTTTAATAAGCCATTTGTAAACCAGAGATCAAGCTGAATTAATATTGTGATCCATATGATGGTGAGTATGAACGGATAGGATCCAATGGGGTGGTGGTATTTCAGAAATATCTTCCTTTGAACACTTTTGAGAATAGAGATTCCATGTAATCAATCAGACGCCATAGTTGCTTGGCTAGCAATGCCATGTTAAAATCCTCAATGGCTCTGAATCCTAGACCCGTCTGTTTTATGCTGGCAGAGTTTCTTTCATGTTAGCCAATGCATTTCACGATATTGACCATTATTACTTCACTAGAAATTTGAAATCGCACTAGTAAGTTTATTTGTTATCCTTTTTAATAATCTAAAATATGACATCACGTGAGTCGGCATTGCCGAGACGCCTGATTGAATAAGAACTTCCTTTCCACCTCTAGAAAAAAGCTTAGATGTCCATCCGTTTATCCAGTTTTGTTGCAGTTCGATCAGAAAGTTGAAAGTCTTTATTTAAAAGGGTTTTATGCAAAAATAATTTTAAACGGATTCCTTTTTGCAAAATAATATCTCACGTCAGAAAAATGTAAGTCAATCCAATATAACATTTATATCAAGTCATGTAGACGTTATATTCAATGTCATTTTTAACTATTTCTACAGGAAAAAAAAATTAAAAAGTTAAATAAATATGTCTCCTCTCTTCTCTCTACTTCTTTTCTTCGATGGAAAAATCAGAAAACCAAAACCAGATAACAAACTATAATCATACAAAATTTAGAAACAATTTTCTCATATAAAGAGAAGAGATGCAAACAGTCAAAAGCTCATATTGAAGGCAAATCCTTGTTGGAAGAAGAATTTGATTTGCAAGAACTGAAGCCCTAATTTTTTTAATTTTCTTCAGAATGGATTCAAAAAAAATTAAAGAGCTGAAGAGTTGTCGTTTTTAAGTGATAAAACATCCATACTTTTGCAAACAATCATCATGTTGTTTTGGTGTAAATAAAACGATGCGTTATTTTTCACAAACATTTGCCACGTCGGTAATATGGTACAGTTATATTGCATGTGACTTTTGGATGGAGTGACTTTTGAATTGGGTGTAGACTTGTATTTTCTTGACGTGATTGACTTATCTTGCAATAAGAATTTAAAGTTCTTTTGCATAAAACCCACTCTACTCTATATATGGTTTGTCATGGTCATGTTTCGCTAGGAAATTATTTTATTACCAGCTTGTTGCATTTTTAAAAATTATAACTAATAAGATATATATCTATATATCTAGCGGGATTTATAGTATAGATAGTTTACAGAAAATGATATTATAAACATAATCTAATTGTATGTAATATAGGAACATTGACCTGGTGGTGTTTGGAATGGAGGAAGGGCAAAAAGTGATGACGTAGTTAGTCGAATTTGTGCATGTGAAGGTGCTGTTATTATCACCGTACGGATAGGTATAAGCGTGTGGACAAGCTCGCTCGAAGTTCTGCGAGTACATCGTCGGCTTGCAATTTTGCTTTGACTGAAAGTAATTGGTGCAACAATTCTCCGGGGTCTTATTCTGTCGGCATGCGCTACTGCAGCCGATTTGATCTCCCCCGCCAAATAGCTTAAGGTCATCCGGACACGTACTATTCAAGTCAACCATACAACCCGAGCTAAAACATGTCGGGCTACTCTGTGACGGGACCACCATTATTGGAAGGTTGTAACCGTACTCGAGACTGATGAAGTGGCTGTTAATACCACCGTAATCGATTCTAAAGTAGACATAAGTCACCTTCGACCAACCGTATCTGCCGGGACACTCGATCTTGCCGGATTCACAGTCTCCCGTGACGCACGATAAGTTTCCTGTTGAGTCGTTTGAGCAGAGCGTCCGACCAGAGATAAGACCGTACCATGAAGATGGAGCCTGTAGGGTACGCGTCTCCCCTGTCCTGAGAGTGAAGCCGGTGGTGGAGAGCTGTGATTGCCATGAGTAGATAACTGGCCAAACTGTGTAATTACATTTGTTCTCTATGGTAAGGATACTTTTGGACAGAACTCCTGCAAACAAATGTAAGATTAAAAAGACCCCCAAAAAAAAAACATTTACAAATACTCAGTTACCAAAAAAAAAAATCATCAATGGGGGGGAAAAAGTAGTACCCGATACGAACAAGTATGAAGCAAGGAGGAAAATAATTGGTAACCTCTCAGCCATTAGGTTAAAGAAAAATAAAAACGTAAGAAAGAGTGAAAATAAACAATAAACTCTGATTTTGTGTAATGTTTTCTCTAGCTTTTTTCTCCTTGGATAGTACGTAGAAATTGATATATCTTAGTGATAAGAGTTCAGAACCAATAATTTTTTTCAGCCACTAGAATTAAAAGACAAAAAAACTTAAAAACTAGTACGAATAGGAACAAACGAGTAAAAACAAAATAGAGGAAAGAATCTACCGACGACCCTTTTCTAGTCAATGAATCGTGAACTTGCGAGGAAACAGATGGGAAATCCAGTAGACTAGATGTTTATTTATTTTCAACCGTATTAAACTATCATTTCAGGATACTCCTCGATCGACGGCACTCATACGAACAAATGTATACAAAAAATGAAGCAATTTACATATAAATAAATTAAAATTTTAAAGAAAGATGTAATATAGATTAAAGAGAAAGTAACTAGATAATATATATAGTTATATTTTAAACAAAAATTATATAAAGGATTCATCCATTTAAAAATGTTATAATGTGTAAATGAGTTAAGAATGTTGAATATATAATTTAGCAAATATCATAGAAGCTAATGAGAAAACAGATCTAGAATTTTCTCATTTAGCAGATAGAAGTCCAGCTTTTACAAGTAAATTTCATTATAACGAAAGGCTTCAATTTTTATTTTATTTTTTCGGCAGAAAGGCTTAGAATTTAAATATTGTGTTATGTATGTTTGAAAACTACAATCTAAATTTACTAAATTCACTACAAAAAAGGTGTGTTTTACAACACTTATTTTATATATTTGTATTATATGTGTTCAAACGGCGTTGAAAAACGGAGGAATGATCACTACAAGAAAGATGAAAGTGATGAGTATAGACTTCAGTTGGGCATCATCGGCTACACAGTACGAATAACTTTATGCAACATCATTGCCAGTGCAAGAGCTTCTGCTAACCGCACGTGAGTTTTTCACATACGAGATGCTTTCTGTAAGACACATATTTTATTTTAGGTAATCATATAAATATATTTACTTGTGCATAATAGAAAAACATTTGGGAGTTTCAATCATATTCAAAATATGCATACTCCATCTGTTAAAACACCTTGTATTTAGCACAACTTTATCAAGAAAACAACAAGAAGATCCAAAAATAATTGACAACATTCTTGTTCGTCTTTAATTTCACAATATCTAGGTTTCTTCCCTTTCTAATAAAATCTTAAACGAGTTGAGTATCTTGGCCTGTGGAAAGAGTTTTTCTCTCTAAACAGCTTTGAGTCGACAGACTAGAAGTCTCTTGACTCTCTTCACCAGATTCCCAAGCCATTACCGCTGGAGTCAAAAGAGGCTTAGGTGGAACTACTAGAGCTTCTACACTTCCCTCTAACATTTCAACGACTTTCCTCATTGGTGGACGATCAAATGGGTTTGTCTGAATACAACACAGTCCCACTAATGTCATTCTCTTCACCATCTCCTCTTCTTCTTCGATGATCTGATCTCCCAATAGTCTCATGGTTTCTTTCCTCTCGAGATCCTCATAGATCCAATCTGGAAAGTACATTGTACTTACATTGGACCTAGAAGCTTCGGCTCTCTCTCTGCTCGTTGCCCCGATCAGCTCAAGCACAACCATTCCATAACTATACACATCTGACTTATGCGAAACTCCTCCATAGCTCTTGGAAAACACTTCAGGAGCAATATACCCTGCGGTCCCTCTTGTGTACAACATTGATATGATGCTGTTGTTTTTCTTGCACAGCTTAGCAAGACCGAAATCTGAAATCTTGGGGCAAAAGTCTTCATCCAGGAGTATGTTTTGTGGCTTTATATCGAAATGCACAATCTTTGATGCACAACTGTTGTGCAAGTACTCTAACCCACGAGCAACACCTACCGCAATGTCGTATAAAACTTTCCAGTCCATCGTTGTTGATAGATCCTCGGAAATAAACTTGTCGAGTGATCCATTCGGCATGAACTCATAGATTATAGCTCTCTTGCTTCCTTCGTAGCAGAATCCAAACAGAGAAACGATATTCACATGAGATGCTATACTCATGCTAGCTAATTCATTCATAAAATCTTCTCCATTCCCATTTGACTCATTCAGGATCTTTATTGCAATATCTTGGCCGCTTGCATCAGATAACTTTCCTTTGTAGACAGTTCCAAATCCTCCTTTCCCAAGAACATGAGCGAATGAGTTTGTCATCTTCTTGACGTTTTAATAACTATATTGTTTCAACATTACAACCGCTTCAATTTTCTGGTAGTTGCATTCACTTTTTCTTCTCGCATTCCTTGCTCTCACTGTTATTACCGCTATTGCAACAATAATGATCAACACAACTAAAGCGGCTGAGCCACCTGCAAGAAAACACAAGCAACACTTAGCTCGAATGTGTATCATTCATGAGTAATAGAGAGATATGGTCGCAACGAAGGTGGTACCGAGTATGGGTTTTAGCTTCCGTGGCGAATTATCTGCATGCAAATGTATCAAACAACAATTATGATTAACAAAACGACAATAGCATTTGCATAAACTATTATAGGATGAAGGAAATAATAATATACTTAGGGTCTGACTGGTTTAACCGCTGCGGTTGCGGTTGCGGGAGTTTGCGGCTGCGGGAGTTTGCGGAAGCGGGAGTTTGCGATTAAAAGCTGTTTGTACGACTGGTATAGCAATTCATAGCGGTTGCGTTTGCGGGATATTTTTGACTGGTTAGCCAGCGGGTGCAAGAGCGGTTTAACCAAAAGTTACTAAAATAAAAATAATATATAATTATTCAAAACATTTATAACCATATTAATAATTTTTTTTTTGAAATATATTTTTTGATGAATTTTTAATTTGAAAACTACCCTTTTTTTTTGGTTTTGAAAAATACACTTTTTATATGTAAAATGATTATTCCTAATTTAATAAAAACGAAATTCAAATAAGAAATATAAAATATTAATATTTGATAATAATTTTGTATCATTTTAACATCCTAATTACCTGTTTAGTTTTTTTTTAAACAATTTAATAAAAATATAAGATTGTTTATATAAAGTTTAAATGGGGTGAGATTAAAGTTGTTTATGCAAAGTTTCAAAAATATTTAAATTTTTCAAAAGATAAACATTAAAAATGAAAGATATATTTCTCCACTTTTAAATTTTTAATAATTTATAAACTTTAAATATATGTAAAGTTTTAATTTATTTAAAGTTTCATTTGGTTTGAATGTGTATGAGGTTAAGTTGTTTATATAAAGATCCAAAATATTAAAATTTGTTTCAGTTTAACATATACTATATTTATTTGAAAAAAAACTTATTAGTTTATTATTTTTTTAAATTTTCGTTTATAATTTGTAATTATTTATTATTTTTTTGTTTAAATCACGTCAAAACATACTTTTTACATTTTAAAAGTGTATTTTTCAAAACAGAAAAAATTTAGGGTATTTTCGAAATTTTTAAACATAATTATGGTATTTTTCAAAAAAATATACCCTTATTCCAAATTTGGAGATATTATGTTTTTTTTTTTTTTTTTTCAAACCGCAACCGCCCGCAACCGCAAACGCTTGCGGAAAGGAGCTTTTGATTTTCAGCGATATAGAGCGGTACAGAGTGGTATAGAGCGGTTGAAAGCGGTTGTCGTGATTGTTATAAAACGCTAAGAACCGCTACGAACCGCAAACGCTGCGTTTGCGGGTGGTAGCGGGAGAACCAATCATCACCTTACTTTTGGATCCTTCTAATGGACTCATCGAGCTCCTGTTATTTTTCCAAGTAAAAAACATAATTACTTAATAATTTATCACATTACTAGATTAGGCCCACGTATAAGCAAGATTTAAAAATTAATATCTTTTTTTTTTCTTAAAGGATTTTCATTAAAAAATAATATCTACGTGAAAACATTATGGATAAACAAAAACAATCTATGATCAAATCTTTAAAGTACGTTAAATAGGATTGAAAATACCGATAATAAATATCTACTAGTAGAAGACCCGCGCAAACGCGCGGTGTGACGTTGTGATTTTGTGAAAAAAAATCTAAATTCTAAATCCGAGCCCGATTCAAAAACTCTAATCAAAATTTTTAAAAACTCAAACTTTTTTAATATGTCTAAACCCGAAAATCTCAAATCCAAAAAATCCCGAAAACCCTGAACCGAATAAAGAAAACCCTAAATTTTTTGAACCGAAACCCGAACCCGAGAATCTAAAATCATATTCTGTTGATTTTGGTATTATCGATAGATTATGTTAAGTTTTTTTTTTTGCAGATTTTTAAAAGCTGGAAAACGGAAGTTTTTTAAACCTTCGGTTTGTTTTAAGTAATTATTCTTGTATTCAAACAAATTTTTCCATTTATTCTTCTATCTAAATAGCTTTTTCTCTTATTCTTGTATCCAAACATTACAATGTACAAAATTGACCCTTATTAAACTTGATGCCAAACACTTTCTCTTCATAATTAGATTGGTTTTTTGGTCAAAAAAATTTCATGTACTTCTCAATTAATAATATAAAAGATGAATGTAAAATAAGATCGATAATCAATTACTTTTAAATTATAATCATAATTAATTTGAATAAAAAGATGAAAATATATTTTTTTTTACCTTTTTATCTTTATCTAGTTTGTGAAAGCTTTACATGTATCTAAATTCTGATCAACTAATTAACTCATGAAACTATCACGCTTGATTTTCACTTTTTTTTAGTTAAATTTACTATTTTTTAACCATATATTACTAACTAATTTTCTATATTTTTCATTATTATATCTAACTAGAAATTTGAAAATTAAACTACTGAACATACAAGATTGGGCCATTAGAAATATTTATTATATACTCTCTCTCTTTCAAATTAGTTGTCATTTTGGCAAAATGTATTTGCAAATATTTGGACGTATCTGGACGTGTTTTGCATTGCAGATACATCTAAATAATTGCAGATACATTTTGCCAAAATGACAACTAATTTGAAACGGAGGGAATAGTAAATTGTATGAAACTTATTTTTTAGTTTTTTAGTATTATTTCTTCAATTAATTTTATGTATTAACACATATCAGCATCTCATCAATAGTAGACATATGTCGCAATCTTGCGTTATAATCATCCTATGTATTCATCCTATATATTCGCATTCGCGTTGATACAGTTTTATATAATAAAATATTTACATGTATATTTTTGTTTGTCTGTGTCTAAAATGTATTTATTGAGTCTAAGGTTTTGGGATTTGAGCTAGTTTCTAGGGCTTGCTTATTATTCTCTATGTTTCAATATATAAAAGGTTTACGATATTTTTTGTTTCATATTATAAGGGGTTTTCAAAATTTATGCAAAATTAAATGTGTTTTTTTGCTTTGACTTTATGAATTATGCAGATATTTTTTTCATTGATTGAAATGTTTTGGAATTGATGATAAGACATATTTTATTTTGAATACCTAAAAATTAAATGAGATTTTAATCTATATGCAAAAAACCTTAAACCCCTTATACTGTGAAAAGATGGAGTATATTTTTTGTTAAAAAATTATAGGTCGATTAAGATTTTTTTTTAGCATATACCATATTATTATATATATATAAAGTTGGATGTGTGCGACGTGGTTACGACACGTATGATTTTTATAATTCATAGGATCGCGACAAGTATCACTTTTAATGTATATTCCAATGGAAAAAAAGAATTTTTTTTGTTTGCATGCTTCAGTTACGAAATGAAAAAAAAATTATATTCTAACGGAAAAAAAAAAGAAAAAAAGAATGTGAAAAAAAACTTACTGAAAATGTGTTAAAAAGGGATTTTTTTTTTAATATTCTAATGGAGAAATGGAAAAAATATTTTTGAATGCCTCGTATTTGTAATCGAATCGTTCATCGGGCGGCCGAGTTAGGATTAACTATTTTTAATAAAACGGAGATTAACCGAGGATTAATCGGGGAGGAAATTTTATTACGTCTAATTATATAAAGTTGGATGCGCACAATGTGGTTGCGACACGTAGGATTTTTATAAAATATAGGATTACAACATGCGTCACTTTTAATGTTACATCCGTTAAGATCATGACATATGTCTTAGGAAAAAGGAAAAAAAAAATTAAGGGAAAATTTTAATCTTTCATAATAAAAACGAAAATTTATATAATAAATTAAAAAAATGTAGTAAAAATACATATTAGTACATGGAATAGGTATGTAAACTAAATATTCTAAAACTGTATGGAATAGGTTACATAAACCCCTATTTTAAAAAAAATCTTACTAGTACAAGAAATAGGTATGTAAACTAAATATCCTAAAACTGTATGGAATTGGTTACATGAACCCCCTATAAAAAGAGAGCTAATGTAGTTTCTTTAAACTAACATAATAAAAAATAAATAAATAAACTAATGAAAAAGATGTTAAAAAGAGAAAAAAAATATTTTTTTCATATTGTAATGGAAAAATGTTTCATATTCCAACGGAAAAAAAAAGAAATTTTTTTTTTTGCATACCTCATTTAAGAAGAGAAAAAAGTTTCATATTCTAGTGAGAAAAAAGGAAAAGAATGTGAAAAAAAACATATTAAAAAGGTGTTTAAAAAGGAAAAAATATTTTTCATATTCTAACGGAAAAAGGAAAAATATTTTAGTTTTAATTCAGAAAAATATTAAACTAATGTATTGGGGAATAAGTAATCAAAACATAATTAGAAAAATGATAATTAAAACAAACAAATAATTACTAATATGATAGAAATTTTAACCTCTAAGAGTTTCTTAATGACGTTTTCAATATGATTTTATTTATTTTTATGAGTGATTATATTTTTGAGGTTATTTTGTTTTTTATTATATATTTTTTATTTATTTTTTAATGATTCTAAAATATTATGTTATCAATCTCGTGTATACACGGGACCTAATCTAGTTTTGTATATTTTTGAAATATTTTCATATATATAATAAAAATCTATTTTAGTTGTGCAGGCACGCACACCATAATGCAAGTGCAAATATGTAGGCCTTGATTGGCAAAGCAGTTAGAAGAGCATTAGGCTTAAGGAGCATAAGCAGGGTGAGTACTTAGAAGAGCATTAAGCTCTTGAAACTGCATGTTCTTAATTTATATGATTGGTAGAGCTGTGAGCTTTTTTATTTTTATTTTTTTTGTGAAATTATTTAATATGTATATTGATATTTATTTTAATACATCATATATATTTTCATTAATAACATAAGATTGTTTTTTATTTTTTAAAAAATATTTAGTAACTATTTCATATTTAAATTATATTTATTTAATTTTTATGTCATTAAATATTTATTTTATGAATAATACATTATTGTTAATGTTAATTTACGAAATTATAAAATTGTAAATTTGATATAAATATAGTTTCATTTTTTTACCAAAATAAATAAATTAAATATAATTTATTTAAGATTTTTTAAATATTTTTGAGCTCAATGCTTTGGAAATGCTCCCTTTCAGAGCAGGGGAATGAGCAGTTTGGGAGCAGTAGCAGTTTCTAAATGCTCTCCTAAATGCTCTTTTAAAAAAAGTTGATTGGATGAAAAAGAGCTTAATGCTCTTCTAAAAGTTCTACCAATCAAGGCCGTAGTTTAACTAACATTAAAACCCAATTATCTTTTCTATCTGGTTGAAAATAAAATACACGAAATTAATAAATTCAGAAATTATTTTGATCGGTAAGTTTCCAAAACATACTTTTTTAAGGTGAGCCATCTTAGACCCAAAAAATAGAATAATCTTCCAAATATGTAGAAATCCGGGTAATCTTGTCTCTTGTTAAAGAATACAAACACTGAAACACACCATCTATTCTACCACCACCACTAGGCACACTAGATGCCATATGGTGTGGAAGTTTTGCTAGGACATCACTAGTTGGATTTTGAGAAATTTTATGAAATACACCTCTTGAGGTGCAAATTTTCAAAACTACACCTATAGTGTGGAAATTTTCAAAAATACACCTTTCCCCAATTTTAATATATATGTTTGGGTTCACTAATCCTATATTAGGGTTTAGATTTTGGGGTTTAGGATTTAGATTTAAGGGTTCAATGTTAGATTTTAGGGTTTTGGATTTATATTTTAGGGTTTAGAGTTCTTTTACTAAATGAAAAAAGTGTAGTTTTAAAAATTGACACCATAGAGGTGTATTTTTGAAAATTGGCATCTCAAGAGATGTAGTTTTGAAATTTCCCCGAGGATTTTTTTTTTTTTTTTAATTGGTAGAAAAAGAAAAGTGAAGTTTGACGAAATCAACTCTCAGCTGAGAGCAACTCCAACCAGTAAAACATATTTTTTATCATTTAATTTTAAGATTAAGTTAGTATAATTTAATTGATTAATATATGTAACTTGAAAATAAATAGGATATACATATTTTTTCCTGATCTATCATTTTTAATAATATAAATTTTAATTTAACAAGATTTCACAAAAAAAAACTAATTTAAAATTTTAAAGACACATTTAAATTTACCCAATTATAATTTTTTTTATTTAATATTTATTATACAATCATAATTTTAATAATATAATAATAAATAAAACAAAATTTAGTGTGAGATTTGGTGTTTATGGTTGGAGATGAAAAATCATACAAGACATATAAAAAAATAATACCAAATTTAGTGTTATTTTCACACCAAATTTGGAGCTCTAAATAAAAATAATTTACGAGAAACTGACTCTGGTGGTGTTTGTTATAGAGGAAGGACAAAACGTGACGACGAAGTTAGTTACGTTAGGGCATACGAAGGTGCTGTTATTATCGCTGTAAGGATAGGTAAAAGCCCGTGGACAAGCGCGCTCGAAGTTCTGCGAGTACAGTGTCGGCTTGCATTCTTGCTTTGACTTGAAGTAACGTGCGCAACAATCCTCCGATGTTTTGCTTTCTTTGCATGCACTAATGCAGGAGATTTGTTTTTCCCCGGAGAATATCTTAAGATTATCTGGACAAGTCTTGTTCAAGTCAACCACACAACCATAGCTCCTACATGTGTGGCTACTCTGTGATGGGACCACCTTTAACGGAAGGTTGTAGCCATACTCAAGACTGATGAAGTAGCTGTTAGTTCCGCCGTCATCGATTTTAAAGAAGATGTATGTCACCGGCGACCAATCGTAGTTGCGTTGACACTCGATCTTGCCGGATCCGCAGTCTCCTGTGACGCACGAGAAGTTTCCTGTTGTGGCCGTTGAGCAGAGCGTCCTACCGGAGATAAGACCGTTCCATGAAGACGCGTGTATGTCACGCGCCTCCCCACTTCTGAGAGCGAAGCCGTTGGGGGAGATTTTGGACTTCCATGAGAAGATAACTGGCCAAACTGTGTAATTGCATTTGTTCTCTATGGTAATGATACTCTCCGACAACATTCCTGTGAAAAAAAATAAGATTAGGCAAGAAAAGTATAAAACAATAGTGGACAAATACAGAAAAAATGTTCACCAGTAAAGGAATGATAATATAGTAGTACCCGATACGAAGAAATGTGTAGCAATGAGGAACACCAATGGAAACCTCTCCGCCATTAGCTTAGAGAATAGTAACAGTAGACTCTGGTTTTGTGTTATGTTTTCTCTTTCTTCTCTTATTTGAACAATGGCTTATGTTTTTTTCTCTTGTTTCTTCCTCATTTTAGTAGAATTTGGTATCTTAGTGATAGAATTTTTGTCTTTCAACAAAAAGAAAAAGAAAAAAGAATTGTCAACTAGTACGGATATGAAGAAATAAATAGATAGCGAGAAAAGAATCTCATTAGTCTGGTACTATATACCCTTTTGGCCTTTTCCCTTGAATTTTTTTTCTAGGAACATGTATTGACCACTTTCACTTATACTCAAGGTCCCATCGCTTGTGGAATGCGGAATTTTCGAACACGCTTCTACGAGATAATGACTATTTGAACTTGAACCGAAATATACACTACAGTTGACTGACTATACCATTAACAACAAACCCTATTCGGATCACAGTCACGAGCCACAATCAAACTTGTGTATGTGTTCTACCATGTAAAATTTCATGACTTTCATGATATACTATAGGAAAAATAAATATTTCAAGCGTGCCACATATATAATCCAGTTTTTTGTAAGCCGTTGAAATCTCTTAATGCCACATATATAATAATGGCTTTATCGTCATTTGCATTTGAATCAACCTTTCCCCCTGAAATTATAGATTCAAGATCAGTGTTTCATTCCGTTATCGTGGTAGTTTTAATTTCCGCGTTATCTATCTTTGTGTTCATTCATCATTGGACCAAAGGTCGTCGGGAGTCTGGCCGTCTGGGTACATGTATATTGCAAGGGGACGTAACAGTACACATTTATATAATCTGAGGCATGTCATGTGAATGTGATGCTTGACGTAAATGAAATCGACCATCACCAATATAGAGACGTAGATGTATAAAGAAAATGTTTATTTTAAGGTTATTAAACTCTGAAAACGAAAACAAAAACAAATTAAAAAAAATTGACAGCTGTGGGATTTGAACCCACGCCCTTTCGGACCAGAGCCTAAATCTGGCGCCTTAGACCACTCGGCCAAACTGTCTTACGACATACTAAGTATGATTAACTTTTATGTAGATAATAATAACTACAACGATCAAGTGTGGTTGCTGTGTGTCTAACTGTTAAGTGGATATTACAACTTCCAAGAGATTATGAATTTCTTTTAATAACTCATAACTGGCCTATAAATTGTTTATATTACAACCACTTGTCGGTTGATAGTGATGCGACCTCTTATATTGGCCTATAAAGCATAAAGTATTCAAGAACACTTCAGAGATCAAAATCAATGCCACCAAGGTTATTGTCAGTTTGTCACCCAAAGTTCTTGCTAACCTGATATATCTTGTGACTGAATGCTCTCCTTTCTCTTCTAAATAACTGAATTGGGGTTTTTTCCATTACATCTTTCAACTGTCTACGATAGAACATAGCCTTGGTGCAGCCGGAGGTATACAAGCCATTGCCTGCCTGAAAGCTACCACCACTGGATGGTTTCATCCTTCAATCAACCAGTTTGTATGTTTCTCTGTTCCCTTTTTGATTCATAGTTGCAACTTGCAAACGATGCTCGACATTGTCCATGTCACAGAAACGCTTCACTTGGAAGCTCCAAAGACTTGGTATATTGTGCAAAGAAACAGAAGAATCATTACACTCTCTCTTTTCTTATTTTGGCCAGCGATGATCACAGACCATCCATTGGAAAATATGTTGTGAAGCAAAGGTAAACCTTTAAACAGTGTAGACAAAATGTGGAGAATGCAGATAACATAAATTGGGGAACCAAAATCACTTACTCTTTACAAAACAACATCCTCGTAGAAATACAATAGATTTGTAGTAACAAACTACACATCTAATCAACTGAATTCAAAAAATTTGTATGGAATTTAAAAAACCCAATGGGCGGATCTATTACCCCTTTTACGTCAACGGCCATTACAAGGTCTCTCGTATCTCATTATCTGTTGTAAACAGAGCCTTGATCTTGACTCTACCATCATCTGTTAAAAGGAGAGCTCTGATCTTGACTCCTGAGATTAAACTCTTAAAACCCAAAAGCTCAGCGAAGTGAGATCAAGTTTTTTCCTCATCTTGTTGTTTCGGCTGTTGCTGTTGAGCCTTTAGCTTCTCCAGCTGTTTCCGAAGGTAAGCTTGTTTGAGTTTCTCCCGACGATTTGTTGCCTGCTCCCGTCTCCTTTGCTTCAACTCTGTTGCCTTTTCTCTTGCTTGATTCACTTCTGCATGAACCTCTCTGCAAATATTTTCCAATACAATAGAGACAATAAGAGAGAGAGAGTAAGAGAAAATGTTGATTCAGTTCCTGTTTTCTTCCCATTGTGAGACAAATGCTACCAGATAAAAGATTTACCTGACCATACGCACGTGCTGGCTTACATCAGCTTCCCCAATTGCGTGTCCGAGTCCAGCAAATTTGGTGCTAAACAGCGAACCATCGTCGTCACCATCTCGTTTCAAATCTTCAGCTGGTGCTGAGATAGAAGTGCTGCAAGTGCTTGATGGTCTTGGATACTCTTCGTGTGAAATTCCTTTCCTGACGAAATCCACACAGTACTTCTCTTCGGCTTCTTCATCTGAAAGCTCTCCCCTTACAAGCTTTTCATATAACTGAGCCTTTCTCTCCAATGCGGCATAGCTTACTGCTCCGTCTTTGACTGCTTTATGCTCAAGCTTGTCCCTTCATTTCCCACATTCAAAAGCATAGATTTAGAACAAACACCGAAAATAATGAAGATGGTAAAGCAAAAATCACATCAGAACCAATTAAGATTCTTCTACAGCATTACCATAATCCCAAATTTTGCTTAATCTTCCAATTTTAGACCAACTAATCCAAAATTTTATACTTTCTGCTTAATCTACTTCAATTTTAGACCAATCATTCTACTGAAGCTACGAAACTTGATTATAATCCCAAATCCCGAATCAAAAACCCTAATTCCCAAATCATCTCGTTCCAACGAATTGACAGCGATAACCAATAAAGGAAGATTTCGAATTTGATGAAATTCGGACTTACTTTAGAGCACGAGCCTCGACGCCGGAATTCTTCGCTGCGAAAGAATCTTTCGCCGCAATCCTTTCCTTGGCGCGATGGTACTGAACATCGGATCCCGTCAAATCCTTCGTCTGCTTAGCTTCTTCCTGCGACTTGTAGAGCTGAGCTTTGAGCTCCATAATTGACGAAGGACCCACACCTTCGATGGCGCGATGCTTCTTCGGCATGATCGAAGATTCCGTTAGCCATCCCAGCGATTCAGTTACTTCTCTCTTCCTCGTCTCCTCTTCGCCTCCCATCTTCTTCTTCTCCTCCTCAATATCTCTCTCTCTCTCTCTCTCGCTCTCTGAATATGTGCAGTTTATGTAGAGCTCGAATTTCTGGCTCGTTCCGTCGTTCGTCCTCAAATATCAAACTTCGACGGAAGATTATGCAGACATTCCATTCCAAATTATAAAATTAAAGTTAAATTGATCGTATATGTATGAACGATAACTATTGGGCCTATCTTCGTTTAGTGTAGCCCAAACTTCACCCGCGTAATTGATATGTATAAATTGAATAACAATCTTATTATAAAGCTGGATGCGACGTGTGTTGCGACACGTAGGATTTTTATAAAATTCAGGATCGCGACATGTGTCACTTTTAAGTTTATGTCCGTTAAGATCGTGACACGTGTCTTAGGAAAAAAAGAACTTAAAAAAAAATTCCAGAAAAATGTTAATTAAAAAAAACGAAATTTAATTTAATCTATTATATCAAAAAGGAAAAAATAATATTTGCCAAATCCAAACAGAAAAAGGTTTCCCATTCATCAATTTTTTTTATATAAAGTTGGATGCGCACGACGTGGTTGCGACACATAGGATTTTTATAATTTATAAGATCGCGACATGTGTCACTTTTAATGTTACGTCCGTTAAGATCGTGACACATGTCTTAGAGAAAAAAAAAAAAAAAATAATAATAATAAAAAATTTAGATAAAGGAATTTTTTTAAAAAATAATCCATTACAGTTAAAAGAAATAAAAATATATTTGTCATATCCTAATAGAGAAAGGTTTCATTCATCAAATTAATATTATCCAAACAAATAATAAAATCAAAATAATGTAATAAATAAAATCCTATTTGTACATGGAATATGTTATGTAAACTAAATTTCCTATAACTGCATGTAATAGGTTACTTGAACCCCTATAAAAGAGAGTCAAGGTTTCTCAATCATAAATTCATCAAAAAATTCATCAAATCCCTTTGATTCTATTTCTCCAATTTAAAAATCATGTTTTTGAAAGTTTTGCGATACATAGGATTTTTATAACTGACAAAATTGCGACATGTGTTTTAGAAAAAAAAAATTCTGGAAGTATGAAGATCGTAACATGTGTCATGGAATAAAAATAAAAAAAAATTAATATGTATAAGACTAACTAAAAATTAGAAAAACAGATAACAAATAATTAAAATGAAAAAAATAATACATCCATTAAAAGTAATAAAAAAAAGGAAACAAATAATTTAAATTCTTTTGTTACATCTATTAAGAAAAGGAAAAAAAATCCATTTCGAAAAGGAAAAATACCAATATATAGTATTTATAATGGTCTGAGGCAAAAACAAAATTGAGAAAGAAAAAATATAAATAGAAAACTAACAAAATAATTATCAAGCAATTAACTAATATTAAAAAATTATAATTGATATTCTAATTTTAAATAGTTTGATTTTCAATTTTTGTTAGGTAAAAAAATTGAAATAAAGATTTCATCAATTAAAATCTCTTGAATGGAATAATAAAAGTTTGATTAATTAATCAGTTGATCAGATTTAGACATGTGTAAGTCTTTCTGTATTGGATAAAAATAATAGTAAAACAAATTAATTCATTTTGTCATATCATAAATTCAAAAGAAAAATCAATTACAATAAAAATGTAAAAGTATTACCAATCTTATTTTATTTAAATATTTTTTATCGGGTTTTCAATATTATTTTGTTTACGTTTAAAAATGATCAAATTTTGTTTAATATTTTCCATGCTTTTATTATAAAATCTTAAAATATACCCGCGTATACGCGGGCCTTAATCTACTAAGTTATAATACATTTTGCACAAGAGATAAAATAATACATTAGTTTTTTAAGAAGAATTTTCCTCTTTTTTGTTGCTGTCAAGTTAAACAAATGAATTATTCAATTAATATATACGGAAAGAGAACAGCTAGTACTTACAAACACTACCAAAACAAACCGAAAAAAAGCCAACAGTGTCTATCAAAAATAAATGTAAGAAACAAAAAAAAATCTGATATTGTGTATTACATGATTCATATCCAACAAAAAACAAAAAATTAGAACAAAATCCTTATATAACTGATCTTCACACCAATCAGATCAATTTAAACAGATTCACAAGTGCATTACTTTTGCGACAAGGCTGAGGAACCATAACCTTTTGTTCATGGTCATTTCTTGTTACCACTTGAATGATTTGGTCATTACTTCTCCCATTTGGGTTATTATTTAGATGATGATCCAATTCTTCAAGAACAACTCTCTGCTTTTGAAAATGTTCCCATTTGTCTTGAAATAGATAGAAGAAGACAAGACAAGAGAGTTGAGCTGTGAACAAGATTGTCCAGAGACTTGAGCCTCTACTTGATGATGTCTTCTTTTGATAACCTCGTATGCCTGTGTATATGTTTATTACGCCAACTATTGACACTATCGTTCCAAAAATCCAGTGCAATAAGAACCATTTGAACCTCCTTTTGCTTCCTCTACAGTGAAGCCAATAGAATCGCGACAAGTGTGAGGGATATTTTTTTTGTATACATCTATATATATATATATATATATCTGTATGTATGTACCTGGAGGGCCTAAAGACTCCGGTCAAGAATTGGAGCCACATGGCAGCATAAAGAGCCAAACCAAGTCTTTGATGGTTATTGTCGAAAGAGTTCTCCAATGTTCTTAAAGAGATTATAGCTCCTATTGTTGCTAAAACCACTGCCAGTATCTGCCCATTTTAATCAAGAAAAATAAAAGTTAGTATTGAAGATTGATTATTATGTACATTATACTGATTGGGTTACTCTATGGTTTGAGTATGTGTGTAAGAGCGTAATCATAGTGTGCCCTTCGTTCTTTTCCCTTAATATTCAAGAAACCATGATCAAAGCTACACAGAATTTCAAGAAGCAACTACTTCATAAGCTTTCTATTTGAAATTAATTTTAATGCATATATATCTAGCTGTTTGAAATTGAGTAAATCTAAGACTACTATGAGTGCTTCTTGTTTGTCATTTCCCCCTTAAAATAGCATACTGGATATTATATTTTTAGTGGAGAAAATGATTAAAGTGAGATGTCATTATTAGTTTGTACTAAAGATCAATTCCCATTTATACATACTTTTTCATATCTCAAATTCGAGAGTGATATACCCTTTTCCATGATTATAAATATTTGGTGAGGTGATTAACATTAATTATATTACCTGGAAAATGACATGAAGGTATAAGAATACTTTAGCCTTTCTTCCACTTTCATTAGCTTTAGTGGCTATTCTAATGAAGAGAATCCCCATTGGCATAAGAAGTCCCATTGAAACCCATAACAGAATGCCATGAAGTTTTATGCTGTTTATCATTTGATGACTCAACTGCCATTTAAATTTTAAGACGAGGTTAATTTAGAAATTCATACTAGTAATAAATACACACAAAATGTAGAAAGAGTCATATAATATACTCTAATATATAGGATTTTGTAAATGAGGAAATAAGAACCAAAGAAATCCAAAAACGTACCTTGTCTTGTACCAGTGATCCTTTGTTCTTGAGATTGCTTGGTGAATGGTTATCAATGGTGAGTTCAAGAGATGAAGATATGACAAATGGTGGAACAGAAGAAACATAGAAGAGAATAGAAATCAAAACAGTTCCTAGAGATTTGGAGATTTTCATTATGATCACTATCAAACTAGACAAAGCCAGCCAGGAAATCTTAGAAGCACATAATCCTCTCTCTGATATCTCTCTAATCAATTAATCATTCTATGAGAATTTAGATAAAGACCAATGAAATATATACACATGCATGAAACATATAAATAGATGTACATATAACTATATGTGTAAAGAGGTGTGTATGTAAGATGGAAGAGGAAGAGAGACAAATAGAGAGGATGCATGTGATTGCTGGTGCTAAAGAGGCTTTTAATGGAATGATTTGAAGTCTTAGCTGATAAAAGAAATGATATTCAATTTGATCATGGAGGGATGGGCCAAATTTCAAATGATCATTATAATGTTAATTTTCCTTGATGTCATAAATTCTATCACCAAATCCGAGATACCATCCAACATAATCATGATCATTATATAACAAGTCAAAAGGTAAGAACTAAGTAAATAAATAAATAAATACTATTATTAGCTTGGGGATTTCAGTTTGGATATCTAGTATTTTCATGTGAATGAATCATGATCACATTCTCCGTTCTTCTAGGTATATTAACATATGCATATATGCCCCATACACACTCACACACATGACACATCACACTCACATATGAGAATTTGGACTTTGTGTGTTACCAAACGGAATACATAAGTGATAAATTTAGCTTTTTGCATTTGGTCCCATAAGCGATCAATACCGACATGTTTCCTTAGCTCCAATGATGTAATGTATACTTGGACATAGATTAACCTGCGTTGCTTGCAAATTGCCTTGTCATCACAGATCACATATTGAATATGAGAATTCAATCTCTTTATGTAATTTTCACATCATGGAGTTAAGTTTCACAATTAATTTTTGAAAGGTGTAGCCACATGTTAATTAGCAGTCTAATTTCACACATGTTTTTTTTTTAGATTCAAATATCTATACTCGCATGAAATTCTTTTTAAGCAAATACTTACAAACTAAAAAAAAAAAAAACATAAAACAAGATCAGAAATGTAAATGGTTACAACTTTTTTTTTAGTACAAACCTAGAAAATTGGCATGTTAGAGGAATGTTTTTCGAAAATTCATTTTAAATCGGGAATGTGAATTTTATATACGTTAATACAAAATGGTGAATTGACAATTTTGTACAAGTATTTTTTATGATAATTTTTTCCAACAAAAAAAAAACAAAATTAGTTAGAACTTTGGATAGATTAAAGATTGTTAGTGGCAATCTTTGTCAGATCTCGAGAATTGCGAAGATAACAAAAGGGAGTCCTCCGCTTAATTAATGTCTAAATTATCGGTCGTGTCTCGCGATGACTTAACGATCATCGAAATGATTACAACTGCATGGGTAAAAAGTCTTTGATTCAATCGACTCAAAACATTAACAAACTGTACAATTATTAGACCTAATGAAATATTTGGTAGCTAGTCCATTTTCTATCAACTTTTTTTCCTTACTTTTATTTTGTTTTTCTAATTTCTCTTCTTTATCAAAGTTGAGAGACGGCAAAGTGATCCTGATCCTGATCATCACGTTGGTAAGTTGGTTACACCGTAGAATGAAACAGTCGTAAGGAAGATCAAAGAAGAGAGCATTTCCTTTGTTTTATATATATAGGGATTTGTTTTACCAAAATAAATACACTCTATTAAAAATAATATAAGAAAACAAAATTTGGCAGAGACAAAGCTCAAGACGTTATGCAGAAATAAGACCAACGTAAGCTGCTGAAAGAGAGAGCACAGAGGAAACAACATATGCCATTGTTACTATCATTGGCTCTTTCAAACCACTGAGCCTAAGGTGATGATGAAACGGCACCGTCTTGAAAACACGACGCCCTCTTCCCTTTAAACGCTTGGTCACCGAGTAAAACGCAACCTGCGCGCCAAAAGACACATACAAATATCATCAGCGGTTGCGGTTGCGATTGCGATTAGAGAAACAGAAGCACTCATGTGTTTATTCTAATCTTCACACCTGAACTATGACAGAAGAAGCTTCCAAGACAGAGACACCAGAAGATATAAACAATGGGAAGAACATTCCTGAGCAAGCAGCCATTGCAGCCAAAGCTCCACCAAGAGCCAATGATCCTGTATCTCCCATGGACACAGATGCTCTGTACCGGTTGTGAAGTAGAAACCCGAAACAAGCTCCAGCCATCGAAGCTCCAAATACAGAAAGATCTGATTTCGGATCAAAAGATACCGTTTAAGGTGAAAGCAAATGATTTTGATGTATTAACTATAGCCATTAGGGACTAACCAGAGCAAATAGGAAGAACTGCTATCGCCATTGCAACAAAGGCCAAGCAAGCAATACCTCCTGCCAATCCATCAAGACCATCGGTTGCTTTGACTAAGTTTCCCATGGAAACGAAGTAGAAAGATGTCAACAACAAGTAAAGCTTTCCCAGGCAAACGAGTCCTAATGGTGAAGGCAACGGAACCAACAATTTCCTGGAAAAAAAATATTCAGAATCAAGAAGACAGTTTGTGAACATGAAAAGAAAAACCAAATTTTCAGTCTTGGAGAGCTAATATGCGGACTAAGTCTAAATACAATCATGTGGATGTTTAATTATTCTCATGTACGTTCATATGAAAGTAGATACGCGAGTTACCATTATATATGCGTTGATCAGATTAGTTATAAGAGGCTATACATGCCATAAGGAGATGATATGCTTGCACTCTCCAACCAAAACGCAAAGCAAGTCCCAACCGCTGCCTGTGACATATAAAGTTAAGAGGAAGGAAAACGTTAAAAGCACAAGCAAGACAGAGAGAACGAAGTAGTCAAAATACCTCCAATAGCAGTTGTATCTTTGCAGATAAACCGTTATTTTGATCGTTGCGGAGGCTTAAGGAGTCATCAACAAGCCCAATCGCAGCAAATACCAAAGTCACAGCTGCTGCTCCAGCAACTTCGACGGACGAAAAGTTAGTCAAGGCTATTGCAACAACAACACCAACCGGAACAAAGAACAACCCACCCATCGTCGGGATTGTTTTCCTGCGGTTATGTGTAACTAGCCCTAGTCTCCTAATCGGCTCGTGCACTTTCAGTCTATCTAGCAGGGGAACGAAAACATAACCGGCTAAGGTGGATAAAGCCGCCGATGTGAAGAAAGGCCGGGTTAAGAAATATGGAGGCAGAGGCAGTCTAACAATCTTCCAAGCGAAAGAGTCCATAAACAAAAGCAGCAGTGACAAAAACGCAAGAAGCCCCAAATTAATCCCATATCTGATTCTGCATATCACACAAAAGATCAATGTCAAAACAAATTGAAAGTTCACAAGAAAACAATGCTATAAACACTTGTTCAACACCAGCATCCTAAATTCAGATTTCTCTTAGACTACACATCACATATACACAAATTCTAGTGGATTTTATCGCCATTCCTAATGGATCAATGATGCTTAAGAGCAGTGTTATGGTTCTTAAGTATGAAACTAGGAACGTGCCTGTGCTTTTTCCGACCTCTTGGAAACTTGCCGAGCCTCTGTGAAGTAGTTTCAGTAACCACATTCAACGCGTATTCTCCGTCGCTCTCTTCGCCTTCACTCGAAGAAATTGCATATGTAGTAGCAAACAAGTCACCGGAATAAAAATCAAATGAATCCTAAGGAAAAAAACAAGAGGAAGAGAAGTCAGAAGTCAGAAACCACAGGTATGTAGAAGAATGCTAATCTAAAAATGGATTTTCAAAATTACCCCATCATCGAATGCCTTAACTGAGGAAGAGCTGCGTCTCAAGCTACATCCCTGCCTCGCTGCACTCAACTGTATAGAATTGCGATGGAATCCGTAAATTTCTCTATGAAAATCTCTAACTCAGCACAACCAACCAGAAACAATTGCAATGGCGATGAACACTCACAGTCACAAATGGCAAAAGACAGAGAAAGGAGGAGTAAAAAATGCCTAAGGAAGCATAATTCGGCGGGAATGAGAAGAGAAGATATGTACCTTGAGAGAAGAGTGAGATCCAGATTCGACGCGAAGACGTGAAATCGAAAGGAGAGTGACAGATTTTGGAGATCGAAAGGGATTCGGATGATGGAATCGGAAAGAGCTAGGATTTAACTGTAAAGATCTCATCGCATCGCGCAGAGAAGGAGGAGGTGGTGATGAAAGAGTAATTGAAATAACTAATAAGTGAGAGAAGGAGGAGTGGACGAAAACAACAGAAACTAAAATACGATTGGGGGAAGCGGTGGTCCAGTGATCGGTGTCCTCGACCCTCCGAGTTTTTTTCTGCCGCAAACAAACAAAACTCTCTATGAAAGTGAGAATACCAGAAAATAAGAAAACTAAAATTCACAAAATTATTTTCTTTGAGTTGTAAATCCAACAGAGTGAAAAAATACAGTAGAAACTCTATAAATGAATACTCGATAAATTAATAAAATATTCTGATTCCAAATTGGACCGATGTAAAATATGACACATTTCGATAAAGTAATAATATTTTTGAAACTCTTATATAAAATATAGTCCCAATAATAGTATAAATTAATAATCATCATATAAAAATTTATAAATATATATAAAACATACTAAAATATAAGTTTTGCTTACAACCAAAGTGCAATAAGTGAAAGGTTGTGAGTTTTATAAATCTCACGTACCTAAATATAATATGAAAACTAAAAGAAACAAAAAGAACTTCAAACAATATGATAAATATATAAAAAAATGTAAACAATAAAATAAATACAAAAATATTAAAGAAAACAGTTGATAGAATATTTTTTGTTGGTAATAAAAACAAGGGAAATATGAGTGTATGACAATAAAAAATGTGAAATTAAGTAAATGGCCATAATAAGTGTATGGCTAGGATATAGTCTGTAAATTATGTATTAATGGCAAACTTACCCTCGTCACTTTCTTTCTTTGTTGTTTTGTTTCTGTTCTTGAACACATGAATGGTAAAAACCGATCTCTCTCTTTCACACCTTCCCAAGATTGATTTTTGATTATAATCTCACCGAAACAAATGAGCAACAGTTGTATAGAACAAAGAGCCATGGTTTCAGATTTTAGAGCATGAATTGTTCCTTTTTTCGGATTCCTTGCCGCCGCTGTCGCCGCAACTTTGGAAATCAAACCCTCTCTCACGAAAACTCTTTCCATTTACCCATAACTTTTGATTCGATCATCAGCAGCACCGAGATTAAACTTTAACAAATTATAAGAATTAGTTTCCATACACTATTTGATTCATTCATGGTTATATCAGATTGATTCACGGTTATTTTAGATCTTAGAAACACCCATTATTGGACAATCATAAACTACTTTGTTGCAATTTCAAGAGTGTTTTTAATTGTTTTATAAACATTTTGACCCCATTCTATTGTCTTTTTCATTTGGTTTTCATGTGTGTGTGTGCTCGATCGTCTGAACTCATTGATAGAAACATTGACCCATGTTCAAGATCGCTCAAACTCGTTGATAGAATCAATTCCATGTGTAATATATAGTATATCTAGATGATCTCTTTTCTTTGCAGGGGCATTTTCGTCCAAAAACAGTACAATTGGTTACTCTTTTCATTTAAGTATAAGTTTAATTTGGATCCTTAATATGGTTATACACCTAATTCACCCTAAAAACAAACAAAAGTTAAGAAAAATTTAGGGAAACTTCTTATTTAATATAAATAAAATTATACTCCCTCCGTTTCAATTTGTCAGTCGTTCTAGCCTTTTTTTGTTATTCACAATACTTGTCGTTCTCGAATTACAAAGTAACTTTATTGAAAATTTCCAAATATAACCTTTATTAAATTATCATCATTTCACAAAATAAAAACAACTAAATAATTAAATTTTAAGATTAATTTCAAGAACACACGTGTATTTGATTATGAAATTGCACGATGGTGTTGCGTTGCTTCTCTCTCCTTGGATCTCTTCCCCTCATAGCATTTTCCAGATCCGAAATCGTTCGAGCCAGATTTCTCTCCATCTCACCCACTCACAGTCTCATCTGCTCGTGGTGACGAGCAAGTCGCCTCAAGATCCCAAGCCAATCGTCTTCCACCTCTTCTCCGTCGGCAATCGTAGCCGACCCGACCCGACAATCGGATCCTCTTCTCAGCCTTTGAACCACCGGTTTTCACTTTCGCCGCCATGTGTAGCTATACGGCAATCTCCGAGCGGCTACACAGAAATTCACTACAATAAATCTGCAGGTTTAGCTTGGGTTTTTCTCTAGATGGATGAAAATCAACACCAAAACTATCTGGTCGGATCTGTGTATCGATTATGAATCACAACATGTAAAAAAATCAAATTTCTGGAAAATAAAAAGAAAAAGGCAGAAAAACAAAAAGAAAATAATTTATTCCCTTTATAAGTGGCGGAGGTAGAAATATTATTCATGGGGATCAAAATTTGGAAGATCTACAATTAACAGGGTCAAACTAATAAAAACTAATCAATGTTTTAGTTATATGTTTATATTAAATCAAAAATTTATAAATTAGTGGGGGTCATTTGACACCCTAGCTCATTCACTAGATCCGCCCCTACCCTTTATAGACGGAGTTGGAGGCTTTAGTTTGGGCTATGCAAAGTATGCTAGTCCATAATAAATGGCAAATGAATTTTCAAACGGATTGTACAGATTTGGTGAAGATGGTGTCTAAACTCAGAGACTGGCCGGTGTTTGAGATTCTGTTTGAAGAGGTGGAGAAGTACAAGAGGAAGTTCCAGGCTTTCTCTCTAACCCACATCCCCGGGACGAAGAACACAAAGGCGGACAAGTTAGCACGGAGTGCTCGAGATCAACCTTACGATGTGTACTATATAAACTCAGTTCCAGTGGTTTCGCTTCCCGAACCGTTATAGGAATTTAGGTTGCTGACCAAAAAAAAAAAAAAAAAAAGAAGAAAATGGCAAAAAAAAAGGTAAATATGTGTCATTTGTGATGTTAAAGTAGTCAATTAATAAATTTTCTTAATTTATGTGCAATGCTCTAGAACGACAAATAAACTGAAACTGAGAGAGTAAAAGATTATGATAATTTAAAAGGAAAATTTAACAAAATCGATTAATTAATAAAATATTAAAGTTCTGATATTATTAATTTATAGAATTTCTACTGTAACTCAATCAAAACGAAAAAAAAAAAAATCTAAATCTAAATAAATTCACACATCATTTCATAACCTTTGAAATTCGATTTATAGCCTTACAGGAGCGGAAATTGTATTCCAATCCAAACCGAGCCGATCAAAACCAAACCAAAATGGACCAAGTCTATGCACAACCCGTTTATAAGTTTATATGCATTAACTGCCATTCCTCTCTAGTAGTCCCTGAAGAAATTCTATGGTGGGAAAAAGAATATGAGGAAAATGACAAGAATCACATTAAATGCTCTGATATTTCCTTACAAAATTGACAACAGTATTAAACAATAACACAGACTCCAAAGAAAGACACATGAAAAAAGTCTTGGAGTTAGGAATCATCTTAACTGCCAACTAACTTTATTAAGTCACTGTTCTGTCAGTGGAAATCTCTCGAGAGACAGCAAAAGGTAGCTTGGAATGTGAGTTGCCATTTGTCAACAACTCACGAGAACTGTTTCCTTTTAAGAATTAAATATATAATCTCATTAGACTCATTATCATAAATAAATAAGTACATTTTTTTCAGGTACCCAGATAAACTCTTTTTTATACTATTGATTACACGAAAATCTGACAACAAAAAAGACACATCCATAGAACGGAATTAATAACAAAATCTGATGAAAGGTTTTAAAAATTCAACGAAATATCACGAACTTGAAAGAAAACCATTTCAATATATGTTTGTAAGAGACGCACTCCAATAGAGTTTTTTTTGCTAAAGGGCTTACTCCAATAGAGTTTCCTATAAAAAAAATACAGTTGAGAAAGTTATTACCATAAACAGAGGAAAACTCATTTCAGAGTAAAAGCATCTCTCATACTGTCATATAATAGACGCATGCAAAAAGTATAATATCACATACACAAGCCACACAACTCACGGAACCATTTTACACACCATACTACATTTATACAAGTTAAGTTATAGCATTGTTATTTCTTAAAAAGATTGACATAATAGTGCATTATATATGTATATGAAGTTTATGAAAACTCTTTACCAATTTTTTTTATATGAAAACGATATAAGTTTTGACCCAAATAAGTGAAGGACAAGACAATAACAAACAGCAACGTCCAAATAGTTAGTGGGATAATAATAAAAATAGCATAAATCATAAGTGGTGTGAGTTCTCTCGTTACTATAGAAGCCTTAAGAAAGATATAATGGAAACCGACATTTTAATTCCAACCCTAAAATTGGATTCTCACATGTCTAAAAGACAGACTTGTCACGGACTCACGGACTATCACTAACTAACTGCTTCTCCTTTTTGAAACTTGTATAGTTTTATATCATTATGTAGATTCTCATCACCTAGTAATAATTATAATACGTGTCTATTACGTGTGTGTTGTGTGAGTGGGTGCTTCGTGCTTATATAAAGTCTTAAACCGAGTGAGAACATATCGAAAGAGTTAGAAAGAAGTATCTAATATTCCATGAGGGAAATGAAAGGTGAGTTTCTTTCATTCGTTCTTGTTTTTCTCCTCTTGGCCTTCTCATGTGTTCATGGAGGAGGAGAGTCGGGAACGCCTCCTACTCCAGCGGCTAGCCCGAGTAGTCCAACAGCAAAATCAAGCGGAGCAAGTGGTTCGGCTCATGGGCCTAATTGGGGATATGATTGGGGTTGGGGATCGACCCCGGAAGGTGGTTATGGCTATGGTTCTGGTTCCGGTTCATCACCAGATGGAAAAGGGACTGGATTCGGGTTCGGTTCGGGTTCAGGTTCTGGTTCAGGAACTGGCTTTGGGTTTGGCTCGGGAGGAGGAGGAGCCACAGGTGGTGGTTCTGGCCATGGAAGTGGGACTGGAAACGCAAATGAAGGTGGCGGCTCAGGCGGTGGGGATGGTGGAGCATCGCCAGGTCGTAGAGAGAGGAGCCAACACCGCTAAAAGAAGCTTTTAATTTCTTGTTGTTGCTACCTTAACACAAGCATACATATATACATAATAAGACTAGAAGAAAAGAGAGAACATTACTACCACATCTATAATATAATTTGCTTAATGCATAAATAAGGATCAAAGTAATAAGTAGTTACCACTGTACTTTGTATTATATAAATCTATTATATTTGTGTTCTTGCGCCAGAACTAGTATACTAAGATTAATGCAGTGGAGTTTCTGCCGTTTTTCTAGAATCTAAACCCGACATTTGATACAACGAATTGAAGGTAGTCTAACAGTAAGATACAAATTCTGGTTTACATTTCTTATTCACATTATCTTCTCCAACTACATGAATGCAGCGTAACTGAATTGAAGATGGATTTTCTTCTTTCCAACGAATTAATTAAAACTTAACGTTATGGATAGCCACCACGGAAACAAAATTTTAGTTATTTACATATGAAATAGCAGAAAGAATTGAAGATACTCTTGAGTCTTGACCCTGGATCTTTTTGCCAATTCTTACAGTTGCCCACTTGGCATTTGACTGTACTATTAAACCAGATCTTTTCGCTTGAACCGAACCAAACTAGGCCCATATATTGTAATTATGTCTAGCCCAATAGTTGGAGTAAACTGGTTCTTGCTTTCTTGGCTACTGGAAACTGTGCTGGGCCAGGATCTTGTTAAAAAGATCCACATTTAGAGTATGTGGCTTTCTAGGTGAAAATGCTGCTTTCTGGTTGTAGAGTTGCTCTTACGTGGATTTATGAATCGCAGAGTCGGACCAGTTGGTTCCAACTCAATGCATGAAGAGGAGATTATGACTGAGATTGCTGAAAACTGCTGAAATCTACTTTCACAAGCAATTATGGAATGGATGCAGCCTTCACTAAGGGCCTAACTGGTGTTTGTATAATTGTGGAATTGTGCTGAATTTGTGCTGAATTGTTACCAGTCACGTTTGCTGAATTAGCAAAATGACAAAACTTGTTGAATTAGCAAAATGACAAAACTTGCTGAAAAGACTAATAAACAAACAAATAAACAACTTCTACTGTTCTCTTTTTATCTAGATAAGAAATTGAACATTTCAATGGTCATAATTGGTAAAAAACAAATCAAAATACAACAAAAAAAGGTTCACGAATACAATTTAAGTTCAGCTATAAAAGACGCATGACATTCTCCATTTGATAAATCATTAGCGAGAGAAGTTGGTTGTTATTCATAAATGTAGAAGAGAAGGTTTCAAATAGTCACAAAAAAAGTAAGTTACGTTCAAAGCATTTTCCATAACTCGTAGTATCTATACAATAATTTTTCAGTTATAGTTTTTCAAAAACTAAATTATATTTTCATATTAATGTATAAAACATTTGCAGTTAACTATATTCTTAAAATAAAATTATATAGTTAGTTTGTACAAAGTTTTGCAGAATTTTGAAAACTATATCCTATTTTATTTAAATATTATTTAGTTATTTTATAAATATATGCTTTATTTATTTAATTGGGTAATTATTATGTGATTTTGTTATATAAATAATTTATTATATATATATATATATATATTAATTCTGCACTCAGCAACATTCAGCTGTTACCATTCATACTACAAACTAATCAGTCAGATTCTGCAACTATTCATCAATTAATTCAGTCAGATTCCGCATTCAGCAACATTCAGCGGTTACCATTTAGACCCTAGCTGAGGAATCTAGAGGCCGAAAGCCCAAAAAAATTTATGGGTAGTATATAATTATTGTTAAGTAAAAGTAGTTCTTAATTACAAAAATCGAACCCATAAAATGTCATTATTGGTGAGATGGGGTTAGATTCTTGCACTCTACCCATAATTTTCCAATAATCTAGAGGCATTGATTTTGACCTTGTTGTTGTTTCAACGATAATGACATTTTTTGGAAAATCAAGGTCAAAATTTATATAACGTTTTTGGAAAAATTATAGGCCGGAAGCCTAAACTAGTTTTGCTTGAGCTCAAAGCTGGCTCTGAATCATGCAGATTCAGTTTAGCATTGCAAAAATATTTTTTCAACATAAAGGAATGATCGGTAATAGTAATAGATGTATGCAACCATTTGTGAAGAAACAGACAAAATAGTAGTTAGCTTTTATAATTGCCGTAATTACTATTTTGAATTGATTTGTGGGATTCAATGTTTTTGGTTACGTTTTAACGTGACGTAGTTACTTACAACCATCATGTGGGAACATTCTATTTTTTTTGCTAAAAGGCCTTCATATGTGGGAACATTCTATATCTATTAAAATGTGCTTTTCTTAAGTATAATCTACTATAACTTGTTAATTACGTACAACTAAATCACATTCTCTCTAATATTTTGTTATAAGTGATGTTCATGAGCTTTTTGATGAATTACGTACGACCAAAGTACAGCTAAAGTGTGTAATAGCTTACTGATCAAACACTGTTGCCTAGAAAATAAACGGGGTTTAACGATATACCCAAAACTGTGGAACATAGTTGAGATGCAAATTTTATGATTAGTCTAATTTAGACTACGAAAAGCATATTATTACTTCTTCGCAAAAATTGAGATTATTAAGTTTTTGGGGTTGGAGACTGAAGACGAAAACAGCAATAATGGATGCGATCGATCACTTTGGTCCCCTTCAAGATTTGGATATACACCATCTTGAATTCACGTAGCATGATATACGTATGTGTTTAATTTTATCTATTTAGAAAATATAAGTACTTGTAGGGCTGTCAAAATGGATAAACCATCCAATCCAACGCATTATTCTAATGGATTAATTGATTGAATATTAATGGATCATGGGTTAATCCAATCCATTTATGAAATGGGTTGGTTTGACTCATTACCCATTTAATTAGATGGTTTTAATGGGTTAATGGATGAATTATAAACAAATATAGCTAAAATTATGTATATATTAAGACAAATATAACTAAAATAAAATCTGTAAACATCACAAAAATTTAAAATGAACAATAAAAAAAGATTTGTGACTAAAACTCCAAATTCACAAAAAAGAACAAAAATATCAATCATTCTAATATTTGTGATGTATGATTGTATGATTCAATCATTTAAGTATCCATATAATTTCTCATGATCCATTGGCCATTGTACATCACTTATTTCTGATAGTTCCTCTCCTTTTCCATTAACAAAAGTCCTCACAACACAAGCAAAGTCCAAGCCAATCTGGTCATCAAAATAAATATGGTAGTCTAGTCATTACTAAACTAGGAGAATGAGCAAAATGCAAGACAAATATGAGAATGACCAAAATGAGCAAAATGAGAATGAGCAAAATGAGCAAATGAACAAATATGAGTACAGTACAAATATGGTACTGTACTTGTACACTTTTAAAAACCACAAGTTTAGTTGATCACAAATATTCAACATTTTGCAACGAGTGTAAAATAATAGACATCCATTATCCATATAGCTATATTTCAGAATCCCGATATAACAATGATATTTTTTCCATACCGACAATTAAATTCTGATGTCATACAAAAATAAATTAAAAAAACATGATAGTTAGATACTTAGATCGTGATTTCGAGTTTATTTAACCCTTGTGACAGAGCATGTGACACGGTTTCGCATTCCCATTAGTTTCCATGATGTATTCTAAGAAATCAAATCAACCACATCTTCAGTTGACATAACTTATGAAAGATCAATTAATCTAAAATTGAAACGAGTCGTCTAAGCATGTGATCATTCAAAACATGCGCATGATATTCTCACCAAGTATTGCACATGAGATTACAATCATTAGTCCTTAGAAAGTACAACTTAATTCTCTATATATATGAAGATGCCTGTTTCAAAGCCTGATTTTATAAGCTCATCAAAGTCAAAGACCATGTCACGTTGACAGATACACTCACGTATCAAAACAAAACAAAAAGATAATGTTAAATATTCCATAATAATTTTTAAAAATATCGATTTTCATTCTCAAAATTCTAGAAACTTTAATAATCTTTTTTCAGAAAAAATACACATTAGCCTTTTTAGATAATCGGATATCTTACATTGAAACTCATATAAGTTTTTCCCCTTTTTTTAACAAACTTACAATAACCAGTGCGTCTCGTTGAAATTATTTATGTTGTTAAAACTTAACATATCTGTGAGGAACTGTCCATTGAATAAAAACTATCGAATTTATTTATATACGAAAAAATCCTACTCCACCGTGCGAAAATTTTAAAAGCGAGAATCGGATAATGAGTTCATATTTGGACACCACTAGCAAACAATGTGGAACAATAAAGGAAAGCTTGATCTGTCTCGTTGAAAAGTAAGTGTTTATAATATCTGGCCACACAATTTGTTACCTTTTTAATGAAGAAATACACATAAAAGGGCCTTAATCAATTGGTTTATGATTTGCAACTACATCCCCATAACTTCTCTTCAGTTCGAGTATCAATTGGGTGAGTTATTTTTGGGTCCCCATTGGTCCTCGATCCATTATGAGACATTTACTCTCTCTCTCTCTCTCTCTCTCTCTCTCTCTCTCTCTCTCTCTCTCTCTCTCTCTCTCTCTCTCTCTCTCCCAAGTACATATTCTTATACTCGTGCATGTAGAAGATTTAGTCAGTTGCATGATCAAAACTTTTCGATCTAGTCTTAAGAATGTTTATACAATGGCTATTTATTTAGTTAAATTAAAACACAACTAATTATAATGCACAAACGTTTATTCAAATTTACACTACTAAATATAATAAGACTTAAATCTACAATATAAAATGTTGATACGAGTGATGAAGTTGTGTGGTTTATGATTAGTTTATTTGCAATGTTTAGAAATTTAAGGTACTATTGATGATTGGATGTTCAATTTGGCTCTGCGTCTATACTATATACGCATCGATTAGTTTTAGACAGTTTTTACGTGCTCATACAATAGTTGGTAGGCCCAAAGGGTCCTGTAATTAATATCATTACGGATTTTTCTTGGC